AAAAGGTCAGATATGGCAGTCAAATTACAATGAGATATTATAAAGCCATGACGCCTTAGTACTCCAGAGTTACAAATGCATGATGTATATCACGGACGCTACATAAACTACGCTAATATAACTTATAGCCAATAGTTAACACTATTAATTAATCAGGTGGGCTTGTTGTTATTCCCATTCAGAAATACCTATGACTTTATATAATGTATATATCAGTATACATAATAATAATAAAGCCATTTTTCAGCATTACTTCAGTATTTTTATCAACAATAATATTGACTACATATACAACTTAAAATCTAAAAGATACTGGTAACGCTGAATGTGACTGACTACATCTTACCAAATTTCGATTTCGGTCATTTTTTATATCAAATTAGAGTTCCAATTTAAACAGTAAAATGTCTAGATCCGTGACAAGCAGTCGAGCAACAATTAAATTATTTAAATTCTGATGTTTATAATTGGTCAATACTAAATAATTATATTAATTAATGTTTAAAGAATTTCGGGATCTACTCCGAAATTAGGAATCAAATACACGATTACAGCTTTTGTATAGCTTTTGATGGAATTAAAATATGAATTGTCTAAAAACGTCCGAAATCAAATATTTATTAATGATAATAGGACCACCTGCGAGACTCTACCACCTGCTATTTTGTTGGACCTCGCAAAAAGATAATGGAAGATATTATTTGTTCTATTAAAGTAGTCATTGTGAGAATTAAAAACACACGTTACAATCTGTTAATTAAATCTCACACCATTTTAGATTTATTTATGATAAAACAATAATGAGATACGAGTGTTAGACTTTAGAACAAGTATAAAAAAATGTAATGAAGCTATTACTTTAAACATATGCTAACCTAATTATATGTAATTATCTAAATCTTTAAAAGATTGTAAAATATGTATTTGTATCTAATAATAATACGATAGGGATACTTTTCTCTAACAGATATATATTATATAATCTATTATATTAGCAACATTAACATTTTTAATACTACAATATTTTTATTATCTACAGTACTTTATAGACTATAATTTTTAAAATTATCCATTTTCCGCATTATTTGTAACAATAAATATACTCACTTGCAGAAGTTAAATGAATAGATGTTTATTTATAATAGTAATGATAATATCCCAGGACAATTCACACAGTGTCCTCTATTATCAAGTTAATAAGAGCTTGTGTTTTAGTAGCTTTTGTTACTAGACAAATGAGAGATGTACTTTGATTTTTTTGTAAATACATAATGTATATAGAACATTGTTGTTAGCAAACTTTTCTTTTTTTTACTCATAATAATAGTTACTAACCAGATATTAGGAGCGAAATACAGCTGATTTTTAAAACAAACTAACAAAGTATTGAGTTGTTCAAGTATTTTCATCAAAATCTCTATTTATGAACCAAATTCGTTAAATGTTCTACTACAAACCTATTATTAATAAATTTTTTTAATTTAATTTTCAATTCAAACAAAATGCAACCATACCTTGAATACCATATAAAGTTAATGGTAAAAGAAATGCCCATTCTATTCGCATAGTTAAATATTAAATTTATCTTTCCTATCGAATTTGCTGATATAATATCAATGTCAATTTTAAATATAATTTGTTTACTATTCCTGTAACATATCATTATTTACGTACATAATTCGTACATATCTAATCAAAATATGTGTATACTTATTTAGGTATATGTTAGCAAGATACACGGGATATCTAAATGAAATTAATTATGATTAATGATATGGATTTGTTGTAAGTACACTTTGCTTCTTCAATGTCCATGATAATAATATATTTACAAAGTACACGGTAATTTTTATACACAAATTTCTGTTAGAACCTTGTATACATTAAAAGTCTATAGTAGGTACTCAAAACAAATTTAAACACCGGTAAAAAATGTGCAGATTCGAACTATTTACATATTTTAAAACAGGATATTTCAATGATTACATTTATATTTAGTACTAGCTGTCCCGGCAAACGTTGTTTTGCCTTAAAATAAAAAAAAAATAGGGGTGGACTACCCCTAACATTTAGGGGGATGAAAAATAGATGTTGACCGATTCTCAGACCTACTCAATACGCTCACAAAATTTCATGAGAATCGGTCAAGCCATTTCGGAGGATTATGGGAACGAAAACTGTGACACGAGAATTTTATATATAAGATATATCATGGTACCTATACATAAAATAATATAATTAGTTTTAAAATGTCATTATGTAAATAGTATGAATATATGTATATAAATACTAAAATCAAATTATAAAAGACCAAAGGTAAAGTTTTACAAAACATTTCGACTATTAACATAACCTATGACATACCATAGGTTGCTATTGCTAAGCATGGAATTACTTTTCTCTCAAAAGAGATTCTTTATTTCTTTATTTTGATTCTTTATTTACCTGTCTGTGAAAAATCACAGACAGGTAAATAAAGAATTAAAATACACACAAAAAATGTCTTAGTAAACAACATATTTATGTAACTAATTATACTATCTGAAACAATATTTTCGTGTATAGATTTTTCTAATATAGAAATTGTTGCGATCTGAAAACAAAAAATAAAAAAATCTATGCGAGATCGATCTCTTGTTTATTGCTCAATATAAATTCGTATAATATTAAACTCTATAATACACAAGTATTTCACATACACCTATTTGGCTGTAGGTATATTATTTATGTATTATTTTTTTAACCACATTTAGGATATAACATACAGAAAATAATGTAAACAAGAATTGAACATCGATATATTTGCATCCATAATATTTTTATATCTATTAATATTTCGTCGGGATTTGTTTTTTTACTGTAAAATATCGACTGAGTTGATTAATGAAATACAATTGTATGCAAATTATAAATACAGTATGCCAAAATGAATATTGTTTGACATTGGTAATAATAGTTACTTCAACAATATAACAAGATACGACAGAATAACTGTAGGCAATCTAACTATGATAGAAAAGTAAAGATACGGAACACATGTTTAATACATTTTTATTAACTTTTAAAACATTTTGTTTAACTCACAAACATCAATATTAATATGAAATAAACATTAAAAACAATACAACTTGTGTGGTAAGTGGAACACTGGGATACTTTTTTACTGAGTTATGTTTTTTTTTAAAGTACAGAATAGACTATACTATATTTATATAACTTTAGTATAACCTTTTCGGCTCTACCTCAATCATATATATTTTTAGATCTTAGTGTAGTGATGAGACTAGAACTCATTATACCATTATGCTGCGAAGTGTATTAAATATATTTGAGAGTTTATCATGAATTTACTGGTTTGTTAAAATCTAATGTTAGAATTATAGACTAATAATGTAAAATTTACATATTAAAATCATAATATTTTAAAATTAGTATATGTATATCATTTTGTCGGTTTGGTATTTATAATGACAATCTTCATCTACATGCAGAACGTTTCAATTAAATTTATAAATTAACCAATTACCAATTTTCTCATTATATTTGGATGTTACATAATATGTTTTTTTGTTTCTGAATTTTGATAACATGGAGTTTTCTCCTAATCAATTCGGTCATCTATTGAGAACGAAATCCAATATTGTAATAAGACACATTTATTTATTTATTTTATTTATTTATAAACTTTATTGCACCAATAGAATTAATACATAAGAATTATACAGAAAAGAGATATGGAAGTACAAAAGGCGGTCTTATCGCTAGAAGCAATCTCTTCCAGACAACCTTTAGGTAGAGAAAATACAACAAAAGTGGTAGGTGGCGCATGAATAGAATGGAAGAATATATATATAAAGGTAATAATAGGGATAGGATAATAATACCAATAAATATTAGAAAATAACACACATTATATATACTATATATAAAATATATACATACATATATAAATATATAAATACACAAAAGTGAAAGTACAAAACACTAATGTCATATGGAAAGGAACAAGACACATAGCAAGAAGGAATACAGGGAGATTTAAGTGGAGAGGTAATGGGATTAAACCGAGCTCTTAAAAATTATTTATTATTTTAAAATTGTTGTATAATGTAAGTTGTTCCAGTATGAAGTATCTACTTAATGAAACAAAATCGATTTTTATTGTTTGTCGTAATTTTGATCTTTGGTAATGGTTTATACATATTTCGATAAATTTTACAGAAGTTTAATAGTGACTTGTTAATCAGGGTTAGGACTTATGCAAATTATACGATTTAATATATTCCAACAGAACGAAACATATTGACAGAACAACAAATCGTTATATTTAAATTATTATATACAAAAAATTATACACCTATGAAAATATTTGACGCCACATACTCATACTATGATGTAATTTTCAAACTTTTACCCAAAAACACATGTTTATGCATAAAATGATAATTAATATAATTTGCCGATATACACCTATTCGAATGTATAATATAATATATTATATAGGTATTCTATTATATATAATATATAATAGAATACCTTTCGAATTTTTATAACAAGCGAAATTTTGTTATACTCTTAAAAATATTATTTAACACTTTACATGGAGATACCGCGTCATCCAAAAATACAGTTTGCAGAAAAAACGCGATTTCAGTATGTGAAAATGTCGCAAATAGAGAGTAGAATCTTACATGTGGCAGTATAACTCTACGACCTGTTATAGTTGAGAATGGCTTTTGTAATTTTTGTAATCACTACAGATAAGTATTATTTAATATATATCTATACATTAAAAACTAAAGCAATCGGACCTAATGATGAAAATAATCACTTTAAATTAAATAATTATAAAATTTATTTACCTGTTGTGTAAAAATATAGAAAGTAATAAAAGTATTACTTTCTATATTTTTAAATACTTATTAAAAAAATAGTGCAATAATTTCAAATTATTAAAAAAAACACACGAAAAATAGTAAATTTTGAAATAAATAACTCACCGGTTCCAGCTAATTTGTGTGTATTTATATATTCACCAAATCAACACCGTTTTAATGTTCTGACACCGTATTCCAAATTAAAAATATTAAAGTTTTTATTTTTTACGCTACACGTCGTTACGCTTTGGAACAAAACACACCGCTAGCGTCGCCGCGTGCTTGCGAATCTGTGAGTGTACACATCAACATTTAACATCAACGGACGCGGACGGAAACGTTGCCCGGAGGGGTGTTAATATAGTGATTACACCTAATGTACGTAACAATGTCGCCGTGAGAGACTATTACAAACTACAAGGTGCTTCTCCCAATCAAACTGTTGAAGAGTCAAGAAGTGTCAATATTAATATATTTGACGACCTCGGTGGTCTAGCGGTCTAGCACACCGCTTTACGTCCGATGGTCGCGGGTTCGATTCCTCACACGGCACAAACATTTGTATTTATGAGTATGATTGTTTGTATCGGTCTAGGTGTTTTCTATGTATAATATGTATATTGTATGTATTTACAAAATAAAAAATATCTATGTACTTCTATCAGTTATCTAGTACCCGTAATACAAGCTTTAACTAGCTTATAAGCTTTTCATTTCTTCTCTCGTAAATTTCTACAACAAAGATTATTAAGTTTATTATATTTTTTGTTTGAATGTCAGTAATAGGGACAAATGCACTCATTGTTAACGATGTACCAAGGCAGTTCGACTTATATGCCATTCGAAAACCATATTCATCTACGGTAAATTCACTACGGTGATTGACTGGTTAACTTTATCCTCATTTTATCATCTCTCATGGTGCCCCGATAGTTATTAAAAAATGACTGCATAATTAAATGGACGATGGAATGGTGCTCCCGCCTGCGCTAACGGTGTACGCGGCAAAAGTGGAAGACGATGGGATGTGCGACGCCATGCTAGTTAGCCCATTGTGTAAATTTCACCAGGAATTTATCACGATGCTTTCCAGAGGGAACTGCGTGGAGGTCAACGAAAGTGATATTGTTTATTGCGTATGTTATATAAAAATACTTATATTCTTTAAAGAAATCTCGTAAATAACTATTAATTTTTTTAAGACGTGACCTACTACTGATTTTTAGTAAGAAAAGTCATCAGGAGTTGCTTCTAAAAATACATTATAGCAATTTATTGAAGTAGTGTTAATTTATTTAATTGATGTGTCCAAATACCGCTTTTTTTATTGTTTGATAATGCGTCTTTTGAATAACCAATATTACACATGTCGCAATTACCTATCCACATTCAAAGAAACCATAAACAATACAGACTCTTTATTACCTATATTTATAAGACCATGATACCTCATGAGGTAAGCGGATTCGTTTTATGACTAAATTTATTTATATGTTTCGAATATACTGAACAGCGAATTTAACATGATAGATTCATCTAGGAGAGAGCGTCTCTACTACCATCTCTCGTTTAAGTACATATATGTCTATTTTCTGACGGCGCGTCTATTATACATGTATTTATATCAGTTGTCTAGTACCTATAACATAAGCTCTGGTTAGCTGGGCCTAGAGAGCGCTGTGTAAATTATCCAAATAGTATATAATAGTAAACAGTTTCAGAAACTATAATTTATTTTAATGTAAGTAACATGTACATAAAAAGTCATAACGTATATTTCATCATTTTAAATGAAATTTAAAACAAACTTCTCTAACATATCAAAGAAGCATATGTTATTTGTCGTTATTATTATAAAAGTAACAAAATTGTTTTAGAGATTAATAGTAATCAGTCTTACCTAATCAACATAATAACAAATATAAATTTTTTATGTAATCTTTCGCGGCTTAATAAATACACTGAATCCCCAAAACTTCTGATAAGATTACCACTAGGGAAACAGCTTTTTTTGCCAAATGTTGCACGTGTGTAGTAATCATTTGCTGGATTTAATCTGTGGCTTGATTATAAATTGTTTCTTATTTTAATTATATTTATATTGGAGAATAATCTATCGAATTGATCAAATTGACAGTTTCAGTTTCAAACAGAATTGGACAATACGCTACTACAAATCTAAAACCATTGATACTTAATCGCATTCTTTTTATATCCTTTATATATCCATGTGTTTGAAATAAGAATCATTTGCAACAGTAGTTACCGTTCTTTTAAGAATTAAAACAGATTAAAATCATTGGGTATTGTTAATTAATGTTACATACAACTAAGTTGCATTGATATATATTTTTTACTAAACATATACACAATATCGAACCAATAGAAACAATCATATTTATGAATACGAATGTTGGTAAAGTGAAGGAATTGAACGCGCGACCATCGGAAGTAAGGGGCGCTAATAGATTGTATTCAATACTTGATGGCCTCGGTGATATAGCACACTAGCTTTACTTCCGATGGTCGGGCGTTCGATTCCTCGTCCGGCACGCTTCGCTGCCAAAACAGGTGAAATAGAAGTTCCCATGCAAATAACTGCGTTAATAGGCTACTTCGGTAATATTAGTTTTGTGTCATTGCACCATGCACCATCAGATGGAGAATCCAGTAAACTTTACAACGATCACGAAATGCCACGAATAAATATAGTGAACAATGCTAAGTTATCTGTGATATACAGAATAAAAACAATTGATAATAATTATTTCAATCATACCTGATAATATCCGCCTATATCTGCTTAATGAAGATATCAGGAAAATCTAAACTAAATAAATAATGTACCATAAGTAGTGTGCACTTTATGGTTTATCACTGGCCACTTTTTTATTTTAAAAAAGATATTGTTTTGTTATTTTTTATGAGAAAAATGTACCATTTTATTTTACCCTTTTTGCATCGATTTGTTTTTCATAGTTATCGAGTAGATGCCGATAAATAAATATATAATATAATCCACCATAGTTATGTTTATATTAGTAGCCTATATAAAGTGGTTCCAATAATTAAGTTAAAATTATTTTTAGTAGATTCCATAAATTACTTCAAAACAAAATTTGGATTGAATGAAAGCACAGAAAAAGTATTATTACATAAGTACTTGTTCTGTGATAAAAGTGAAATAAATAGGTAAATTAGGTAATGATAATCAGAGCACTCGTTGATATCAACTGATTGACAAATCCTAATGAAACAGCTGACTCGATCCTACTTCATTAACGGTACTCCAAACGTACAACCTCAACAACTTAGAATTTAATTAGTATTTTTTTTATTTATTTATTTATTTCGGATATCCATCCATGTAATGTCAGTAAACAACTTATAAACTATGTTAGTAAATTACAATGTATATACTTATTATTATTATTCATATATCTATCTATAACTATCCACGTCCAGAAGCACGGGGTCCGCAGCAGTGCAAAGTTATAGTTTCAGTACAAGCAAGCAAGCTGATGGCACTGCATAAGAAGAATGGCGACGGTCGCCTGTATACCTACATGAACAGCACGATGACAACAAGTCGTCATCTGACGTCCGGGACTTCCAGGCGTTGCTATTCCGGAAGAAAATGATGTTAAGTATCATTACCCTGTATATTCAATGACATGTCACACCCTTCAAGCTGAAACAATGTGACAAGACTACAGTTATAAATTTTCCCCTTCCTAAACCGGGTTAAAGGTAACATCTAGTTTTATTATACAACAAGTGACCCGTCCCAGCTTAGCAAAGATGCATTACATATCTTTGAATTGCTCGTTGTTCTATACTTCTTAAACTTTCCTCTTGAAATACCTATCTATTGCTAAATACTGCATTAAAGTCCGTTGGGTAATCTAAAAGATATAAGCGAAAGAAATAAAGGCGAATTCATTTTATACTACGTAAAGATATATAATCGAAGGAGGTTCTGGTAAGTATATATCTACTTTTAGAAAAAGAAAATCATTCAATAATACCTACTTTTATTTTCAATAATACAATTGTCTGTAAATTCTGTGTTAGAACTACAAGTTACGTCAGTGTGACCTGCCAGGTGTAAACAAGTAGATAAGTATCTACTTTTAATTGTTTATAATCTTACTAATATTATAATTGCAAAAGTTATTGATGGATGAATGGATTATTTGTTACTCTTTCACGCAAAAACTACTGGACTGATTTTTATGAAACTTTGTAGTAACATGACTATTACATCAGAATAACACATAAAAAATGTGAGTAACTAGCTGTGCCCGCGGTTACACAGGATTTAATTTAAAAATTAACCAAACCCAATCATAAACGACAATCACGAGGGTAGCATACAAACGGTTCTGAACAAAATGAAATAACATAAACTAGTTCTTATTTTTATATACCCAAGATAATTTATTTAATCGTCAGATTATTTATATACCTATATAAAAATATGTTTTATACACATGCCAATATTCTATATCTCTAATCAGTGCTCGCACCTATTATATACAGGTGCTGTAATTTGGTTTTCATTTACGAAATTAGGTATTCCATATGTCGAAAATCAAATGTGGTACTAATATTCACCTACATGCCTACTTAATGACCTGTATTAATAAAGAGTTTTTGAACACACTTTCTAGAAAACTATATTAGATGAGTATGTACCTTTATCATACGAAACCACAAAGTATTGTATGGGGTTGTTTGGGGAATTAGAACATCTTCGAATATATCTACACTCATAAACACTAAGAACTATGTTATTAGGCAATTATTGAATATCGCATAATTAAATATGTAAGTATACCTTATTAATTAATAAATGTAAATGACTTCATTAATTTACTAAGTGCCTACTTTAAAAACCGGAGGACACACGGATCTCTATGGATCATAATTTATAGAGGATTTAGATTCCGTTGTGATTTTGATAACACATCAATCCTTGAGAATACCAAGCGATAAAATATTAAGCAACTAAGTACATTATCTATATTATAAAAGATTAAATAAATTATAAGTGGTGGTTGATTAAATTATTTATTCTATACTTTTGTCAATAATGGACAGTTAGGTCAGTCACGGTACAAGGTGTACGCACACCTTATATAATAAACACCGTAACTATGCAATGTTTTCTGATCTATGCCGTAACTGATTTGCGCTTATTCCTTTTTTTATAAAAAGAACTTAACTATAAAACGCAACAATTCCAAACACGAAATAATTAATGATTGAAATAGGTTCAACTTAGCAAAAACAATGGTTATTTTTTTCATAAGGTAATATGCAATGACGACTGGCGAGATAAATACCTACCTGTAACTGAAGTTCGAAAACAGAAAACATAGTATGAACAAGCAGAAAGGATTTTATATTTTGTATAATTTCAGCGACTATTCAGAATGTTTTAACATTACTGTCTATGGCAATAATAGATGTTTATTTTATTCTTAGCTAACTGTGCTCCAGTGTCACTAGCCGTAAAAAGGAAAATTAGTTAGTTATATCTGTAGTTAGGCACTTAACTGCAGATCTCTTATAGCTTAGTTCTCCATCAGCAATTTGATGAGGTTGCTCACTCACGGTGTTAAGTAAAAAAAATATATGTTTATTGTTGTAATAATATTGCCTTTCATTGGCTGGGAAATATAATTCTACCTATGTGCAACTGACTGTACTTACTTCTTTCATGTACACTGTGTACCTATTATATTATCTATGTGTTGAATTGGAGAAATATATAAATATGTGTATAGATAAATGTAGTAAAAGTAATTATACGAAAGATAAGTGACGTAGCTAATACACTTGTTTTTAAAGGTGATACTATCTTTACCCCCGAAGTTAGATAATACACAGTGTTTTATCTGTAACTTTAGGTGAAAATAAATACTCGTCACCTTGATAAGAAAGTCATCACTGAGGGTTCCATAGATTTTATTTTTGGTAAGTGCATAACATAATAACATTATAGCTTACTACACGTTTACGTAGATTAACCACTCAAATTAGAATTAAATAAGATCAGAATTTATGATAAATTTTGAAGAACTTAAAAGTAAATACAGTTGGAGAAGTACATTCTGGTGACTGAAGCTGCCCATAGCTATAGAACATTTTATGCTATATAATAGTACCAAGAATAAAAATCATAATACATACAAACCTTTCGTTTATTTATATCATCATTACATAGTATAAAACTAAGTCGCTGTCGCTGTCTGTCCCTATGTATGCTTAAAACTTTAAAACTACGCAACGAATTTTGAAGCGGTTTTTTTAATGGATAGAGTGATTCCAGAGGAAGGTTGATATATAGGTATAATATATGTACAACCGTGCGAAGCCGGGGCGAGTAGCTAGTTGTGGATAAACAAACATCAACGGTTTAAATTTAAAATGTAATAACATATCAGAAAGAGCCGACATCCCTTTTTCCACTTTTCAAGCATGCTAATAATAAATGTACATCTTATAGAAAAAATATTACTGTGATGTAGGTACTGTAAACTCCCTGGACAATGAAAGTACAGTAAGCTTTTCCATGCGTAGGTACTTATTGTATTTCATACGATTGCATGAAAAAAAACAGTGCCTTAATACTAAAATTTAAATGTGAGGCGTGACCTCACATTTAAATTTTAGTATTAAGGCAATTCTAAGAATAAATTGATAACAATGTTAGTCGAATGCCAAAAACCGATATGCAAAAAGATGCAATCCGATGTCAATGGATCGGAATTAGTTTTCCAGAATAAAGAAACACACAGACCGACCACAGACATTTTAAGATCCACCACTTCAACCTGCCTACCAGGGGGAAAGGGGATTGTTAGTAATGTGGATTGATGATCTTATTGCTAGCAATGTACCATGTCAGGTTGATCTCCACGCGGTTCCCCTGGAAACCATCGTAATAAATTCTTGGTGAATTTGTTACGATGGGCTAACTGGCCTGACCTCATGCTCATCTCATCATCTTCCACTGGTGCCCCGCCAGCGTAAACCGTTAGCGCAGGCGGGTATACCATTTCATTATCATCCATAAAAAAACCTGCCTACCAGCGTATACCGTTCGTGTTAGCCATCTGTAATCTTCCTTTTGATATATTTACATTACTCTGTAGTATTAGCTAAAGTTCTATATAGGGTCCTAAGTAAGAACAAGACCAAACTTAATGCTGATTAAAAAGTAATAAACCTTAGGTTTTTTTATCTCATCTGTACTTAAAAAATCTTATCTGGAATTACAAAACCATGAGTTCGGATTGATATACATATTTACTTTGCTCTTTGATTCGGATTCGGATACACTTGCTTCTTTTACAGTCATATCTAATAGTATTGATTTGTAAATTCTCTTTCCATTATTTGTTCTTGGTATTTTCTTAGTTGGCAATTTGTAATACACAAATAACTTTTTGTATCCTACACTGTACTGACAATCTTTGACATTGATAGAACGTTGTCTGTAGGGATGTTCATGCATAAAAATATCGATTCTTTTAATCGATATAATTGATCGAATCATAAACATTACATAAATTTAATTTGATAAAGCTTTAAACTTTATCAAACACCGATATTTTCTTTATACCGTATGTCTTTTGTATATGTCGATTTTTTGACAACCAAAGATTATCTTTTTGCAGTTTGTTTTACTCTGCATTCATATGTCTGATATAGAAACCATAGTAGAATTAAATAGATACTGAGGCAGACAATAAATTTATAGTTAATACTCGTATAACAAATACGATTTTTTACGAATACTCGTATTAAAATTAAAACCATTAGAAATGGTTAAATATGCTTTTATTTTCATTACTTTTCTTGTTTGTTTATTAATTTTATGAAAATTCACTCCGCGGTAGGTTTATCGCTAGATTAATTACTATATTTCCTATATTTATAGAAACTTTTCATTAATAATTATATCAATATATACAGTTAAAAATTATTAACAGCAGAAACCGACTAAGTTTGATATATCGCAGTTAAGTGACGAGTATTAGATTCTCCGCCCTATAGAATACTAACAGAGTGACACTCCTATTTTTTCTCTATACTCTATATGCTTTCGGTACTCAACAGTCACGGACTGCTAAAGTTGAGGTTATATTCGGTTACATTTTAATTGTTTTGATACGTTTGGGAAGTATCGGAATATTAAACTATAGTCGTTGCTCGAGACAATGTCTCATTTCAAGTTAATATCGTCAACAAAGGCGTCCGATGTTATCCCCGTAAATAAATATGTATCTGAAAAAACTGGTCTAACCGTAATCATTGCGGATGTGGAAGGTCCCCTTGTAAATGGATTTTTCTGTCTTGGTAATGTATATTTGTTGGTTACTACTTGTTACAAAGAGAATCAATATTATTCTTATTTATCAATATGCAGTATACCCGATACTGATATAAATATTTATTCTCCATTGACATGAACATTACACATTCTTAAATTACTTTGTGGGGCTCTTGTGATTTCTTCTAACATTTTCTTTTATGGGGATAATGGAATGATGTACTGGCCTGCACTATCGGTATATATCTAGTGGAGGATGAGCATGAGATCAGTTCATTGTTTCACTACAAATTCAACAGGAACTTGTCATTAATTCTTGATGAACCCATGAAAAACCATGTAGAGGCCAACATGACATGGTACATTTCTAGCCATGGGATCACTAATCCCCATTATTGACAATCTTCTTTGGATCTCAAACAAATGTTATTCTTTCATACTTCCTACATTTTTTGCCATTTCTCAGCTTTCTAAACAGAACACAGTTTACAAAGCATCTTGTTTGCTGGCAGAAATAGATGAGACAGATGTATCCATCCACAGTGATCACTGTATACAAATTCTATTTTTAATGATGTTGTGTGCATAATAAATTGAGATACAGTATTTATTAATTTAATGTACTTTATTAAATATATTTATTTCTAAATACAATAAATGTTTAAGTATATATTCTGAACTAAAACAAATATTGTAATTAATAATTTAGACTTGTATGTATCTACATTAGACACTAATTGTTGTCTATTTATATTTAGCAACTGAGGCTCATGATGATGATGGGCTTCCACATACATTGGAACATCTTATTTTCCTCGGCTCTAAGCGGTATCCCTATAAAGGAGTGTTGGATCTGCTAGCCAACCGATGCATGGCGCATGGCACCAATGCTTGGACAGATACCGATCACACTTGTTATACAATTTATACTGCGGGTGACGAGGGGATGTTGACACTGCTGCCTATATACTTAGACCATATTTTGAGACCTACACTCACTGATGAAGGGTTCATAACTGAAGTTCATCATATTGATGGTGATGGAGAGGATGCTGGAGTAGTCTACTGTGAGATGCAGGGTAGAGAGAATACAGCTGATAGCAGGTAATGTAAATTTTCATTTCACTGCCTATTTATCTATATTTATATATACAATTGTAGTATATATTATCTGTGTTGGCATATCAATATTTTTATTTATATTAATTATCAATGGGATGAGGAAGATTTCTTAGAATAGTTCTTTACTTCTTACATCGGTTATAATATGTTAAAGAAATATTTTGTTACTTTAGTTGAACAGTTTTTATAAGCACCATATTACTAAAATAATAAAATACATTCACAATTTCACAATACCTTCAGTAATACCTTGCTTTATAAGAGAATATAAGAGACATGTTTGTTATTAAATCTATATACTTAATTCTTGATAAGATTAGTTTTAGAGAACATTCACAAACAATGTGAGCAATATGCATAAATATATAGTCTCTGTAAATCTTATATTTAACAAAATGATATTTGTTAAAACTCGAGAATGGCTGGACTGATTTTTTTTTCCCATACAAACTGTTCATACCTGACAAACAGGATCTGTTAAGAAATTTATTGTATAACTAAAATAAGTTTTCATTTATTATTTAATTCTGAGGTGGAATAGAGCGTGCATGGTCAGCTAGTTTTTAATATATTAAAAAAATTGAATGTTTATTTTTTGTACTTTCTTAATAGACTATTATTAGCATCATAAGTTTTGGACTAATTTTAGTTCACTAACTAGATAGTTCCCAATTTACTTTTTGATATCATAGGTTCTGTATATGAACGATGATTTGTTTGTATTAGAGGGGCTTGTAGCTTGTCTGCTAATAGGTAGCAGTGGTAGAAGTAGGATCTATTATTCATTGTTTCCTAATTACTTGTAGATGTGAACTGAAGCTGCTGCGAACCATGTATCCTAACAGTGGATACTCTTCTGAAACAGGAGGCATTATGGCCAACTTGAGAACATCTACTGATAATACTAAAGTATGTCAATATTTATTGTTTAGTCAATTTATGTTGTTTCTTGTACTTGCGGTATACAGTCTGCATGCTTACATTCAATGTAAGCATGCGGACTGTTGTATAGGTAGTAAAGTATAAAAACATATTATACCTAAGTATTCATGTTAGTAAATTAAAGTTTCCCAACAATTTCCTGAACCTCACTGGATTATCTTAATAATAATATTATAAACACGAAAGTTTGTAAGTACGGATGTTTTACTCTATCACACAAAACCTACTGAACGGATTTTGATGAAACTTTACAGTAATATAGCTTATGCATCAGAATAACACAGAGGCTATATATTATATACTAATTTAACGCCGGTGAAACCGCGGGCACAGCTACATAGTAGAGACTATAATCAGGTCTCAGAATTATGTCATTAAAAAATACATTATTTTAATCACTTTTATTTATTTTAATTATATTATATAAGTTGTAAAAATAATCTTATATTTATTATATTCTATTCTATTATTTATTATATTCTATTAATTTTATATTTTTTCCGAAAATACAAACTTATTACACCCCCCCTTGATAGAGAGGACTTTCCTTGAAATTTCCGTGGAAATCAGAATTTTTACTTAAAAATAAAGATTTTTTTTTTAGGTAAGAGATTTTCATAAAAAATTCTACCGTGCTGAGAATTTGACAGTCATACTAACAGGACAAATTGCAGCAGATGATGTGTTCAAAGCACTGGCTATAGTTGAAGATGACATAATAAGCAAGGTACGTTTTATTCAATCAGTATTCTTATTTGTTTAGTTGTTGGAATTGTTTTTGCTATTGTTTATATACTATTAATATTTTAATTATATAATTTAAATTGAGTTATTTTGAGTTGAGTATTTTTTTTTTATTACTAATACTGTCTAGTATTAACAATAGAATAAACGCTTTAGCAATTAGTAAAATAAATATATATCTACTCATCAGATCAGAAGGATGGTGATGATGACTATAAATAGTGTCATTGAAAAATCTCATCTGCATTATATAGGCAAATTGGTACTAGACTTATTTAATTTGTCAGGCATATCCTACGAATTTTGTAGATCGATTTTTCAAAATTTGAATGATTCGATTGATTCTATTTGAAACATTGACACAGTAATAATATAAATATATTTATTTTTCAAGTTTCAAACAATATGTAAGTCCCCAGAAATATATGTACATATAATATATAATACAGAATAATATGTACATGTCAAATGCTTATATTTTACATATTTTTCTACTCTATCTTTTTTTTTAAGTACTAAATTGTTGTTATTAATTATTTTTAATAATAATAATTAATCGAGGTAACGAACCCAACTTAATAATTATTAATTTTTTTGTCTGTATGCGCGTTTGTGCGTTCTAATCTCAGAAAGGGCTTGAACGATTTAGGTGCGGTTTTACACTAACGTTTTGTGGTTAGCGTCACTTCTAAAAATCTGTTTTGACATTGTTCATGTATAAACATAGATTTGTTATGCCTTGTTATTTGGAATAAACATATTTGTTTTTTGTCATTACTTTGTTGTTGTTTTTAAAGAAACTAACATTTGTGGTGAATAACTACTCACAAAGACTATAGTCATACTATATTCATCTAGGGAGATTTGTGGGAAGTGGGGAATTCTTACCCATAAAAAACCACACCTCATACCTCGATGTGCCACTGAGTCAATCATAAGATCGCGTGAGCATTCGACCCCAAAAGAACTAGCAGTTACCTAGTTGAAGTCATTACACACTCGCTTCCATTATGTGAAATAACAGGGCGGTAAAAATTTGTACGGCCTTGAAGCTCGTAGCTAGACAAATTATACCTACCTATTCGCATTAAATCCGGCACTATAAATTGTATGAACAGATAGGTATGCGACAGCTGATAAAAAATAACCCAAACTAACAGACAATAGATGTATGTTATGCTATGCCATCTTATACTTAGTTTTTTAACATTGTTTTTATGTTACTTTGATTAGATCCCTATAGCAGTACAATAAAAAATCATCAGCACTTACTCATTTCTGCAGTGTTAGTAGTTAATTGCAATTCGAAATCTCTGCCCAATTTGGAACTAGATGGGATTGTGTAAATTTTTCTGAATTATTGTTCTTAATTACAATATGTACTAAAATTATTCATTACATGCCTTAAATATTTTTTAAATAATAATAATAATCTCAGGACAATTTACACAGCGCCATCTAGACCCAATTTAAGCTAGCTAAAGCTTGTGTTATGAGTACTAGATAACTGATACATATACATAGATTTTTATTTTTGTAAATACATACATAGAAAACACCCAGACCGATACAAACAATCATACTCATGAATACAAATTTTTGTGCCGTGCGAGGAATCGAACCCGCAACCATCTGTCGTAAAGCGGTGTGCTAGACCGCTAGACCACCGAGGTCGTCAAATATTTGCTCCTCTGCTTTATGATATCCATATATTAATCATCGATATTAATAAATCTTTTCATTACTTATTAACCATTATTCGATGTCTTGTATACAGGGTAGTAAATTCCATACCAAGCAGAAAAGCCTAACAGAAAATATGCACAAAGAAGTAAAGTAGAAAATTTTAAATAATTTTTAAAACCTTCGTTATTGCGATGTCGCTTGATCAATATTTAGTTCGTCAAATTCATTCAATATTTATTGTCAGATTTTCACTATGTTATTCAGTGAAAGTGGTTCAGTTTCATGAGCTTTCGACCTAACATTTGGGTTTGTGTACAACTACTTCTGCATAGAAAAAATATCTGCAGCATAGAATATTTCTCTGTCTCTTTCGCCGTAAAAGAATGTCTTTTTCAGCCTATACCTAATCTAGCCTTAATCTGGCCTCACATTTTTAGGTTCTCTCTTACGATTGCTCTATACAACCCTCTTCTATTGGCGCATTTGCCTTTACGGCCCGCCCTTTTTGGAAATGCGCCAATCAGAACAAGGTCGCATGAGACAATCATCCTACTGAACCTAATAATGTGAGGCCAGGTTTAGATTATGTATTATCGGACGAATTTTGTCTTCGTATATCGTATACCACACGAACTGCAGATATATAAGACTCTAGGTCACAGTTAATAAAATAATTGTGTTCGGGGAAGCTAGTTCCATTATTTTAGGTTAACCTAACAATTTGTCGCTGTGTAGATACAATCATAAATTTACCTAGGCTATTAAAAAATCAATACGCTTCGTGAATAGCTAACACTAACATTATTCTAGCAATATAGTTATGTTATTGATTGATCGTATTCGTAGTTAGTTACATCGACCTTGTTAATATTCGCTGTAGAAACCATTATAAAGATGGTACATACATTTGTTTATATACTAATCCATTCTTAATTTTATATATAAAATTTTATATGAAGATTGTGTGTATAATGAGGACGTACATAGGCAATCTGATATCCTAAAAAAAAAACAGATGAAGTCACGGGTAACATCCAGTAATATAAATGCGTAAATCTACCCGTCTATCCGTTACCTTTTCACAACTAAACTGCTGACAGATCATAATGAAATTTGACATAAAGATAAATTCTAACACGAAAACGGACATAGTTTTATCTCAAAATCAAATATGGAAAAAGTTGAATAGTTGTGTAGAGTGTAGACGATGCCGCGGGTAATTAGGTCGACTGTATTCACCTTATCTCTTTCTAAGCTATGGATACATAGATAATCATTTTTATTTGTATCTTAGTACACACATGTAGGTTTAATTATATGCAGTGGAACAACAAGATTCAATACGGTAAACGTGCATGTGCCACAGCAATAAAAATTGCTCATTTGGCTATAAATTTTATATAGGTATTGATCAATACTTAGAATGAAATATTAGTGTTAGTATAGCATTTTTTTTATTTTTGTCTAATGACATGTACCTATTAATCATTAACTCGCGTACATAAAACCATATGTCCTTGACAGCTTGAAATAACACTTTGTAGACAATAATGTTTCACTGCATCATTTTTTATTAATGTTTTTATAAATTAACCATAATAACTATTAATAAGAACATAGATACAACAGGAAATGGCAAACAAATCTGTGGTGTGGTAATCTGACGGTAATTGGCAACCTCCGACCGATCCCCAAGATGATCCCCAAGATCCAAGATAAAACGGGAATCGAAATTACGACGGCCTGAGCTGATGTTCGAACCCGTCGCGACGTCCTCAGTCTAAAGTCGTATCCGTCAGGACGAATGAGTCGATTTGCTACATTTCTACCATAATAATTTAAGTTTGATTTGAACTTTACAAAAAGAATTGAAGATCCCAGAAAATAATAATTTGCGTGATAATAAACAAACGTAAAATGTTTATATTTTTTTTCAATCTTTATTATATTAGTTTGTTAAAAATTGTGATATAAACTTTAATTAAAAAAACCTACCTGGATCTGAAACTTAAACGTACGTAAATACAGTAAATTACGTGTCAGGTGTTTGCGGTAATTTACTTGTATTAAATAAATTTAGCTTATTTATATTTTTGTTTTAGAGAAAGGAAGAGCCGCAAGAAGATTGGGTGAAACCATGGAGGACAATCCCTCCACTGCCTAAGTTTGAAGAATACAAAGAACAATGGCCAGCAGACACCGAGGATTGTGGACAGGTATTTAAAATTTAATTAAGTCTTGCCAATGTATGACGTAACGAATATCCTACGCATCGTCATCATTGTCATCCTCAGCCCACTGGACATAGGCCTCTCCAAAAGCACGATCTCGAGCCCATCAGTTGTCACTTCGGTACCATTTCGGAAAAGTATAATGTTATACCGTCATAACCTGTATCTTCTCACCTCAAACCAGAACAGCTTTCTATTATATTTCTAAGGCAAATACAACCACTAAACGACTAATTACTACTAAAACAAGCTACTGAACATCAAATGAGCAAGACTTGTACAAAGTCTGCAGGGTACGATTAAATGTAACAATAAATTACAATCATAATGTAAACTCAATTACTAATAATCATTCTACACATAGGTACTGTTCGGATGGCGCGGGCCGCTGCTGTCTGAGCCGCAGTCCCACAAGGAGTTAACTGGCTGCGCCGTGCTATTGCGCTACCTGTGCGATACTGCGGCCGCACCGCTGCAACGTCGCCTCGTCGAGCGCGAGGACGCACTGGCTGGAGACGTACGATTACTTTTTTTTTATTTATATTTATGTATACTTACATTTATTTTTTACTCGCTAAAATACGAATGTTGAAATATATTTGTCACTGCTCACAAATATACTTGTTCATGTATATGTATGTATAATGACGATTACCACATACCGTTAGGTGGCCCGTCAGAAAATACATTATTACATAGTATAAAACAAAGTCGCTAGTCGTCGAGTAGCTAGTAAACAATAAAATTGTAGCACGGATAGTTATTGCAAATACATCATTTGTTTAACCAGGTCTCCTACAATCTAACAGAAAACTTAGCGTCCCTAATCAAAATTGAACTCGACAATGTACCAATGGATAAGTTAGAAGCAGCACGGGACGAAGCACGTACATGCCTGAAGAGTGTAATCGAAGGTGCTGAGCCACTGGATATGGAGAGACTGAAACGATTGCTCAAGAAACAGCTGCGTGAGGCGCTGGCTAGCCTTGAGTCGGACCCGCATCACGCTGTAGCATTTAGATGTATTGGAGACGCGTTGTATTCGCAAAGCGAACAAGATGTGAGTGTACATGATGATTTTTTATATCTATATATAAAAGAAAAAGGTTATATATTTTTTTAACTTAAGAAGATATCTTCAGCAATTGTGCATAAATTTAAATTTATTCTTTTTGCAATTAATGGTCAATGATTAAATAAAGGGCAAATGTGAAAACTTAAACGTTGATAATTCTAATCTAATATTATAAATTCTTTTTTAATCGATAAAGTGTAGTTCCACGATTGTCTCATAACGATGTTATGATAACTGAAGCTAGTTTCTTATTGCGGAACAAAATGTTTAAAATATTTCATTATATTAAATATTTCAATATCCAAAATTCTGATTCTTTTTACAGTTCTTTGCACGAATGAATCCCCAAAAAGCTCTAGCTGAGCTTTTAGAGGAGAGCAGTGACTACTGGCTCACTCTGCTGCGGAAATACTTCACAGATGACGTCATCACAATTGTGGGCTCGCCCAGCATTGAATTACAAGTCAAGTAAGATAAGTCAAAATACACAAATGAACTACAATACCGCCTAATTATTTCTCCTAACGAGGGTAAATTAACTGTGCACATTTAATGCATTAACTTAATAATATATAATTAATAAATTTAAATCTTACACATACATAGGTATACAATATAGATATGTATTTTATGTATTAGCATCTCCTTAGAAATATACATATATCATATCTACTTCTGGTTTCTTAGAAGCAGTAATTAGCTCACTATCAGAAAAAAAGCTGGTGGTTAGTATTATATTTTTATTTTAATCATTAACATGTGGACCGACCGACGATCTGGTCAAGATCGCTGGAAAGTCCTGGATGCGAGCAGCACAGGACTGATCGCCGTGGAGATTTTAGGAGGCTTTTGTTCAGCAGTGGATGTCTTACGGGCTGAAATGATGATGATGAATCATTAACATACACCCAGTTTCATTTTCAATGATTATATCTGCAGAAATCCATAGCGGTATTTGGGTATATTTTATTCATGGTATTAAAAATAATATAATGAAATAAATTCTGACATTTATAAAATTTTAGAATGGCGGAAGAGGAAAAGAATAGGTTAGAAACACAAAGAGCTCAACTCGGAGAAAGTGGTTTAGCTGAGAAAGCTAAGCTGTTGCAAGAAGCTATGGAATTCAATGAGGTAAGCAAAAATAATTCTTTATTTATTTATTTATTCATTTATTTCAGGCAACTAGGCCCATATTATAAATACCTTATAGACTAACATACATATAATATAATATTTAAAAACTAATACAATAATATTGTCTGTGTGATCACGGCACTGAAGATGGCAATCTGCCACGGTAGCGCCGATACACCACACCTTTCGGCCAGTAGTCCTCTTTCATGAAGGTGGGCAGCAAGTCGGTGGGGACCAGGGCCACAAACGCTTTGAAACTCGCGTTGTGACTCGACTTCAGCTGCGTTACCCTCAATGTCAGGTTACTCTTGGTACGAATATAATCGACAATGTCCTGCTCCTTAGTGGCGTAATGTAGACGGGACAGGTACATTGTCGTGGTCGGTGTAGCAGCACGCAGCAGAAAGTTGGGCCCAGTGAGTGCAGTGCCACAATGATTCCTATTGACCTTGTTTGTGCGCCTCTTCTTTTGTACCACGACGAAGCCATCATCGTCGCGGTTGCCAGTGGCAGCACACGTAGGGTCAATGTTCAGTGCCGTTTTTGGCACACGCCGCTGTACTGAAGCAGTCGGTTTGCTAGCGACGACGGCGGCAAAATCTCGACGCTGTGGTTGCACCGAGGATTTTGTTAGCGCTGCTTCCACATGCAGCGGTATCGGCGCTCGCGAGCTGCGGGCGGGGGGCGCGGGGGACGCGGCGACCGGCGGTGACACCACATCTGGTGACGTCAGTGTCGACGCTGAAACCGCTGACTCCGCCGTGAACGCATCGCGGCATGCCCCACGGCGCGTGTTGATGTTCGTAGCGTCAAGTGACCTAGTTTCTTTTCGCGAGTCGCGCAAACTGTCCACTTCCTTGCGCAACTCACTAATTATGTGCTCTGACGCATTGAAACGTAGCGTCACATCTGCCAAACTCTTTTTTAAGGACACGATATCCTTGAGTAAGCTGGTAACATCGACGTGATCAAATGTGACTGGAGGAAGTTTGTTTAAATCCTTCGCCACAAAAGTTGGCACGTCGTCTGGATCGGTCTCCTTCAGCAGCGTTATAATGTCCTGTACGCTTTTTTGTGTCCCGTCACGTCTACGAGACACCATCTGATTAGTCTTATTTAGGGACTCGAAGAGCAGAGCCTTCGCTCTCGCGATGTCGTCCTGGCTGAAGTTGGACACACAGATCTGGACTGCACTTACTTCGTCCATTACGTCCAGCTTCTGCTGCAGGAACGCAAGGAGTTCGTTGGCCACAAGTTTGTCACACATGGCTGGAACTTCGACTAGCACGGCTTATGCCGCGCTGAGCTATTACGATATTAAATAAAATAATTATAATACGTGCACATCGGATCGCGCTTACACTGAGACTCGATAACTTATACTGAGACTCGAGACTTTATAATTAACATATGCATTTAGAATAATATTTGAATTTGTTTACCAGAGTAACACTTTGCGTTAAATCTGTTTGGAATAATTTCATTTACTTCAAGTATTAAATTATATAAGCCACAACAAATCACACAGCGCTATCTAGTGCCAAGCTCCTTTACTCATTAATTCCTAATATTAAAGCCACACTCTTGTGGATGGAGCCCTTGCCGTTTTCATGGCGGACATAATGCCTGTTGGCATTAAGTTTGCATTTGCATTTATACAATTTTGTGTGCAAAAGAATAATAAATAAATAGAACTTATTATAAATTGTATTACCTAAGTAAAGAATTTCTATTTTCTTTAATATTGCAGCGCAGCCCGCCACCGGGCACACTGGCTGCGGTGCCTGTGCCGTCGTGCGAGCGGCTTCACTACCACTCGGTGAGCGGCTGGAACTCCGCCTCCCGGGAACAGTGTCCACACCTCGACCTCGCAGATCTGCCGCTCTACGCGCGCGTCTACAGCCTCACCACCAACTTCGTATATGTACGTACCACGCTGTACACGCACCAAGGGAGTTTGTTAAAGTCCGGTCGCTCAAAGTTTGCGTTTCGGGATCGAATGGCGATGTAACTGACCTACACTTTACGGCAAAATTTCAAATATCTTTTATTTGCCTTATTAACGAGTGATAACATTAAAAATTTAATAATTATTTCAACTTACGATAAACGTCTTTTGGGCTAAAATTATTAACTACTTAACAAACATAAAAATGATAGTTTTTAAATGTCAAATCACATCAAACTGCTCTGATTAAAGGTTATTTAGTCACATCACTACAAAAACAAAGAGTTTGAAAGGGAAACAAATTTAGTACCCACCTGATTATATTGGAAAGTGCCGCCTATATATATACGGAGAGGGTTATGCCTAGTATTATATTAATTTAAATTGATTAGGGGTAAAATCAACAACAGTCAAGTGTTAGATCGGTATATGAATTTCATACCTGTATGTTCCAGATAAGTTTAATCTTCGATACAACATCAGTAGACCAAAAGACTCGCAAATGGATCCCACTGCTCCTCAACGGATTGGCAGAATGCCCAGTGCGGCGCGGAGACAAGCTGGTGCCTCATGAGGAAGTCATATCCACCACGGAACAGCTCACCGTCATGTTCAGCAACGATATAGGCTTCGGCAAGTCGGGCAACTTCACAGTCGGAACTTACGGCAATTTCATTTTAATCGAAACTAGGGTGAGTTTGACTATATAAGAGTTGTAGTTTCTTTGAACTAAGACTTGTATTGTAAACGGTTAATTTTCTTTTTTATATTATGGGTCTTATCCCATTCAAATTTAAATTCAAATAAAAAAGAAGTAGTAGATATATTGGAAGACCAAAAGCTTACAATCCAATACCTAAAATGTCCGATATATAGAAATATTTTCACTATAGGAAGATACATTGTCAGCGAATTAACTTGGACTATATTATAATCACACAATTATTATTATTTATTTAAGTTACAAATGGGAAACTTTTAACGGTCTCAGTTCACCCTGTCCACCACCACACCACCACATGACTTTGTGGGAAAATTATTATATATAATATACTTAAGATAAATTTAAATCTTATATAATTTTCTTACAGTGTGAACCGCAGGATTACGAGGAAGTTGTAAATCATCTTTATGAAATTCTGTACTCCGCTGAAATTACGAAGGAAAGATTGCTAGTATTCGCACAGAGAATGATCAATGACGTCGCACAGGTACACATTTATATATACAATAAGATATTTATATAGACAACATGATATTGATATCAACCTAATAATAGCTACAATAGGCATTTTAGTGTTTAAAAACATATATTATTACCACAAAAATGGTGAAAGTCATACTTCATGTAAAAAAAATATGAAATCTAGGACCTCACTCCTGCGGGTTCTAAATTTTATGATGTTACATTTTACATATTTTGTACGAAAACACGAAATTTTTCTATTAATATATGACCTACTGTAACAGAGGGGAAAATATAGTTCAGTATAGGGAAATATAGGTAAGTATAGTTGCCTAAGGGGGAAAACATATGAAAAATGATAATTCCTATTTTTATAGGTTCGTAGAAATGGTCACAAAATGGTGTACGATGTATTACGAGATTCACTGTATTGCAAAGACAGCAATGTACACTGGTGCACAGTTCTTCGCCAGCAGAAATTCTTAAAGGAGCTTGTGGAACAGCTGAATGCCGGTGGAGATTCAGCGGAGGCAGCTATCAATGATGCAAAAGAGTCATTTAGAATCTTTACAGAAAACGCTTGGTTACATCTCGCGGCCGATTTCGACAGATATAAGTTAAGCACAGAACCATGGAAGAGATTCGGAAGAAGCAATGAGATTATTCCATCTGAGTGAGTAGATTCAAAATGTTTCTTCAATATGTTTAATCAAAAATGAATACTAGTTTTATGTGTTGTGTTGTAATGAACTAAAAAAGGGATATCAGGTGATAAAATAGCGTTAACATTTTTAAAAGTTTTCAAATGTATATATGTATGCATATTCAGTAGGTCTGAGAATCAGCTACTATTCATTTTTCATACCCCTAAGTGATAAGGGTTGTCCCCACCCTTACATTTCTTTTAATTTCGGACAATTTGTTTTTATTTTAATTTATACAATCCTAAAATTTCACGCTTATACCATCAATACTTAATTTTTAATAGATATTTTAATGTATATGACAATTGCAATACGACGTCAGGCCGCGCCTGTACTGGGACTCTGAGCTGATGTCGGGGTGGGGCGGCGGGTGCGTGGTGGGCGTGGGGGGCGTGGAGTCTTCGTTCGCGGCGCGGCTGTCGCCCGGGCCGCGCGGCTACGCCCTCGCTGAATTCGCTCCCCTGCTCGTCGCACTCAACTACTTCACGCAGCTCGAGGTAACACAACACTAGCTCCAAGGAATGACGCGATTATATTAAATACTACCTGTGAAATTTGTTATTCTGATGTATATGCTGTATTATTGTAATGTTCCATTAAAATCCATTCAGTAGTTTTTGCGTGAGAGAGTAACAAACATCCATCCACCCAAACTCGCAAACTTTCACATTTATAATAATGAGATTAGTTAGATTCATATATAGAGTCAGTTCTTAATCAAGTGACATATTGCTCCCTAATTTAAATATATTTCTATAATTTATTTTAATTCTATTACAAAAATTAGTAGTGATTATTATTAGTTTATATTCAATACATATCATTTGTTGGAGTCAGCACTATCCTATGTGTACTTGAAAAGTTAGACCACTGCACCTACCTGCTGGTAACTTTTACACTATTTCACTTGAACTGTTCATCTGGGATCACTGAATCACATTATACGCAGTACTACAGTTGAACATGGCCAACCTAGAAGACATTGCAGAGACTCAACGCTCACTTGAGGTTACCTTATTCCAAAGAATGCAAGAATTTGAAGTCCAACTCAAGGCATCTAAAGAAGGTTCATCACAGCAAGGATCCATCAGCGATATCTCCAGAGCCTTCTTAAGCTTTAAAGAGCAAGCGTGGGGTATATTCAATATCCTTCAAAAGCAAATTGAAGAGTTGACAAATTCTGTGGATGGAATTGAAATGCGTCACCGTAGAAAATCATTGCTTCTGAATGGTGTGCCTGAGAATACAGAAGAAAATGTCACTGCTACAGCTCTGGACATTATACACAAAAACTTGAAACTGACAGACATTAAAGCCGCAGATATCCGAGAATGTCATCGTCTTGGCTCTGTTAATGCCAACCGAACACGTCCTGTTCTTATCAAGTTTAGTGATGTTTCATGTAAGTCGGCTGTATGGAAGAATAAAACAATGCTCAAAGGGTCATGCTATGTCTTAGCGGAGTTCCTGACCAGACGGAGGCAGTCTTTATTTATTGCCGCACGCAAGCATTTCGGTATTCGCAAGGTATGGACGATGGATGGGATCATTACAGTGCAAATGCCTAATGGCAATCGTTCGCGTATTTCCAGTAGTAAGGAGTTGGAAAACTTGGTCGCTGAATTTGGCAGCGCAGCGTCTACTCGGGGTGCTTCGAAGGACACTCCTGTGTCGACGAGCCAGGCCGATAGTAATAAAGCAGTCAGAGCAAAGCGCGGAGTTCGTCTTAAGTAGTACATAACAAGTTTGTATTCATAGTTCCTATAAATGACTCCTTTTCAACAGTGATACCTTAATACCACAATTTTACGATGGTTGACTCTTTTTATTTTTGTCAAATGTTAACCCACAAGTAATTTTTATTCTAATTTTTCATTCACCCACTATTTTGTTTAATTTATTTAATAATTTTAAAACTAACCACAAATCAAAACATTTAATAAATTGTTCGAATGTCATAATCAGTAATGTGCTGTCAACTGTCATATCAAATCAGAAACTTTGTGAACGTCAAATGTCAATTATAGGCTTGTTGTCACTATGTCAATTGAACTATTTTTGTTCACTGTTTTAATTTAAAATTTCATTAATGGTTGTATTTTCCAGTTTTTTTCACTTCTTTTTTATTTTAATGTCTTTCCTATAACTTTTAAGTATTGTATTTTAAAGTTTTACATTTTATTTTGTTCTCATTAATGTAAATAGTTTAACTGTTATTATCTTAGTCTGCTTTTCAACAGTATGTGTGAAAGTCAACCGGCAGGTTGTGCAGAATATTCAGTAGTAAAGCACTGTCTTTGCATTAGTTATTGTAATATTCTTTTATCATAATTTATTTATTATTATATATATATATATTTATTTTTATATATTTACGCTTATTATATTAATTCTCATGGCTTTGTCTGAAGATGATTCTTTTGTTTCTTCTCATGACATAAACTCTTCATACTACTCCTGCACTGATTCTGAGAATGAACCCACCACGCTCCGCGATGATCTGAATGCTGAATTACGGCTACAAAATAAATGTTTCAATGTATGCCATATAAATGCTCAAAGTATCCCATCACATCACACTGAGCTTCTGAATACGTTTTCTTTGGATTATGTTCACGCAATCCTCGTTTCTGAAACTTTCCTTAAACCCAATTTGAATTCCTGTTCCTATAGTATCCCTGGATACATCCTTATTCGGAATGACCGTGTCGATAAGGGCGGTGGAGGCGTGGCGATTTTCCTCCGCTCTGGAATTGAATATAAAGTCCTCGAAACCTCTCCTCCATCTTACTCCTCTTCTCCTGAGTACCTCTTTCTTGAGGTCAACGTTAGTGGCATCAAAGTTCTTCTTGGCGTAGTCTATTGTCCTCCTACTATCAACTACTTCTCTAAACTGGAGTCTGTCTTGGAAACCGTCGCCTCAGAATTCACTCATCATGTCATTATGGGTGATATCAATACTGATCTCCTTAAAGATACTCCTGAATCACGCAAACTTCGATCTCTGGTGGAGTCTGTTAACCTAACTATACTACCTTTAAACCCAACGCACCACAACACGAATACGGACGACACCTGGTTAGATATAATCCTGACTACCCCGGGTGCTGTCATTAATAAACACGGTCAGATCAATGCGCCTGGTTTCTCACATCATGATCTCATCTATGCCTCATTAGTCATCAATCCTCCGAGAAAGAAGGTGCAAATCTTACTCCTTCGCAACTTTTCTAAGATAAACATAGAAAAACTTAATGAAGATGCTGCGGCGATTGACTGGTCACACTTGCTCTCGGCATCAACAGTGAATCATAAAATCTCTATTTTTTACACTGCTTTGCTGAAACTGTATGATGCCCATGCTCCGGTACGGCGTGTGAGAGCAAAGCGGCCTCCTGCCCCTTGGATCACTCCAGAGGTTCGGCTAGCCATGGCCCGACGTGATCGAGCTTTCAGGAGGCATAGAGGGGATCGGTGTGAGGAAAACTGGCACCTCTTTAAGGCTGCTCGTAATCGGTGCAACCAAGTGGTAAGGGCTGCCAAACGGCGTTACATTCACAGCAATATCCTCGCGTCTTCTTCGGCCGATATATGGAAATTTCTTAACTCCTTGGGATGCGGTAAACCCACCATTAGTCTCCATTCCTGTACTCTTCCACTCGATACTTTAAACTCTCATTTCTCATCAACTATCACCATTGATGCAGCTGTTAAAGCTGACACATTACATTACTTGTCTTCCTTGCCTATTCTATCACTGTCCCCTTTTGATTTTACACCAATAACTGTTGAGGAGACAAAAAGGATAGTGTCTTCTATCAAATCTAAGGCAGTTGGTTATGACGAAATTAGCAGAGCCATGATCCTTCCTATTCTACACAATATCCTTCCTGTTCTAACTCATATTTTAAATTTTTCCTTACAGTCCTCTGAATTTCCCGATATTTGGCGTAAAGCATTCGTACTTCCTCTTCCCAAAATTCCGAATCCCAAGTCTCCTTCTCAAGTACGTCCTATATCCATTTTACCATTCCTGTCGAAAGTCTTAGAGGGTGTCGTTCACAAGCAACTTTCAAGTTTTGTTTATTCAAATAATTTTCTCAGTAACTTTCAGTCTGGGTTTCGACCTGGACACAGTACAACTTCGGCACTTATAAAAGTTATTGATGACATTAGGGATGGTATGGAGAATTCTCATGTAACTGTACTTCTTTTAATAGATTTTTCTAATGCTTTTACCACTGTAGACCATGAGATTCTCCTGTCCGTCCTGAGTCACCTTGGTGTTTCCTCAGCAGTTAACAAATGGTTCTGTTCTTACCTTTGTGGTCGCCAGCAGGCGGTACGTACTGATCAAGGCACATCTCTCTGGTCTAACCTCACTGCTGGCGTGCCCCAAGGGGGTATCCTTTCTCCCCTGTTGTTCTCCATTTTTATTAACATGATTTCAGTCCTTCTTCAATGCCCTTACCACTTGTATGCTGATGACCTGCAGCTTTATGCACAAAGTAATGTGTGCGACATTAATGACGCCATCGATAAGTTGAACTCTGATCTCCGGGTCATTTGTGCGTGGTCGCATAGATTTGGGTTAATGGTCAATCCTACTAAGTGTCAAGCAATTTTACTAGGTAGTTCGCGGCAGTTAGATAGGATTGATAGTACCAACTTACGGACATTAGTATTTGACACCACAGTTATACCATATACCAGCCATGTTAAAAATCTTGGCCTTTACATGGACAACAACCTTAATTGGAATCGACAGGTGAATGAGGTCAGTAGAAAAGTCATAGCTGCCTTACGGTCCTTATACAGGTTTAAAAACTTTCTTCCGGTTGGTACTAAACGTCTTTTAGTGCAGTCTTTGGTATTACCTATAATTGATTATGGAGATGTGTGTTATTCAAATCTTAACCAAGACCTCCTTAATAAAATGGATCGTTTACTCAACAATTGCATACGTTTCATATTCGGTCTACGTAAATATGACCATATCTCACACTTCCGCGCTGAGCTGAAATGGCTTCCTATTCGCCAGCGCAGGAGTGTTAGAATTCTCTGTCAACTCTTTTCTGTTCTATACGATCCATTAGCTCCTCAGTACCTCAAAGAAAGATTTCAATTTCTAAGTTCATCACATTCTCGTGATCTTCGCTCTTCATCTAATCTCCTGCTTTATACTCCTTCTCATCGCTCTAATTTCTCATCTCAATCTTTCACTATTTCTGCCATTAACCTTTGGAATGCACTTCCTGTTGGCCTTAGAAGATGTCAAACCAAATTTACCTTGAAGAGGTCCTTGCGTGAACATTATTCCAAATTTATTTAATAGTATTCAAGATATGTTATTATATAAACTCCATGAGATTATATGAATATTTATTATATGTAGTTTAAATTTATATTTTATTTATATGTAATCCATAAACTTATATATTTTATATTGGTATATATTTTATATAAAAATACTAATATTTTTATATATTTGCATCTGTATATATATGTACTATTTTTCTGTATCTATTTGTTATAATTTTTGTTTTTCTTTTTTTTTTCAATTAATTATTAAAGTGCACCGCCTTATTATCTCTGATCAACGCGACGGTTGACTGGTAGAGAATGCCATAAGGCATTAAGTCCGCCATGTATACATTTTTGTGTGCAAAAGAATAAATAAATAAATAAATAAATAAATAAATAGATCTAATTAGTATTCATAATTACAATGATATTTATTTCATCAAATCAGTGGTCTAATTTTGGACGAAGTGTGGGTGTATATAACTATGATTTATCTATTGTATCATGTATGATTGTATGTAACTTCAGGGTCCGATGTGGCGCCTAATTCGCGGCGGTGGTCTGTCGTACGGGTACGGCATGCGGCCGTCGCCCAACGAGAGCTGCCTCGTGTTCTCACTGTACCGCGCCACCAACGCCGTCGCCGCCTACACCAAGGCTAAGTCCATATGTGTGAGTACTATATCATGTTTTACATTTTTCCCATATGTTATATATTTATACACACATACTCACACACCTCGGTAAAATATTAGTTGAAGTCCTTTGTAAACGCCTACCGTAACGTTACCTAATATTTGTTGTAATTATAAGAGGTCCATATATCATCAGGTAGAATCAACAACAACCTTGTCGGTCCAATCTTAAAAATAAAAATAGTTGCTACAGTTAATCTGCTTATCTAAAATAAACATCTTTCTGTGTTTCAAATTTCATTGAATTTAAGCGATGAAACTACCTCCATTTCAACCTACATACTCCACAAAATCTAATCGCAATATACATATCAACACCTTTCGCCTTTATAATATCTTTCCTTATAACTAATTATAATCGCATATTTATTGCATTGTACAGGAAGAATTTCTAGCGGGTGGCAAATTTGATGATGATTTGTTTGCGTCCGCCAAAAGTACAGCGTTGTTCGAAGTAGTGGAGAACGAAAAGTGTCCCGCCGATGTCGTCCGGGACTCCCTACATAACTTTGTCGGACACTCGCCCGATACATTTAACAGGTATATTATCATTATGTTCTCATCGATTTACGTGAAAAAGCAACACGAAAGTCATTTAAATCGAAGTGAATTTCAATGTCAGATTAATTATTTGTGTAAACATATAATTATTTTTAGAAGACCTATTTACCTATGTTAGGTAAAATTATACATTTGTCATTTGAAAGCCCTTGATGGCAGTGGTGCGAAACTACCACTGCCCGCTTTCTGTTATTACCTATTGATTAACTGTACAATTTTATAAGTGCAATAAAGACAAATAAATAAATATTTAAAGGTTAGAGATATATAAATTTACAACTGTTATGTCAAATAGGGTAAGCCTATATAAATCATTATTCAAATTTATTTTGATGATTGGTTACGATTTCAAAAAGCTTTAATGAAATTTCGGCCAGTTTTGATGACGATACTACAAATATAAAATATGATATATAGAATTTAAATTATTTTTTAAATGGAAGAAGCCAATAAAATATCGAAATAGCAAATTGAGGGGTAAACTGCTTTTTAAAAGTAAATAACATGTATTTTTTAGAGACCTGATATGCGCAATCGCGGCGGTGACCCCAGAGGAAGCGCAGGCCGCGGCGGCGCGGTGGCTGCCGAAGCTTTTCGATCCGGAGTTGGGTAAATTCGCCCTCGTGTGCCATCCCACCAAAGTGAACGATTTGCAGGCTTCCTTTGATAAGTAAGATATTCTGATTTTTATTTTGTTTTGACTATAATAGACTAACGACAGTGTTTTGTACTAAAATTTATAATAATATGTGTATAAACAAAACTGGCTATATCACGTAACGACATAAAAACGTAGTGTACTGTGTACATTACTACTGTAGTGGAATACACTTCTTATTACCATTGTAGTGGAAACTGGCATATTTACGTCTATCTGATGGTAAACACATAGCGCAGCCTTTGGACACTTGAATCTGGGTCTCACATGCGCGTTGGTCAGACCCATAAAAATCCTTAATATTATCTCTCTGGTCGTTTGGACTAGCTGTGGCCACGAGCTTATTTGAGTATCAAGGATATCAATGTTATGTTTATGATACGTGTCATTTACCTGAGTAACAATATAAATAGTAAACACGAACGTTTAAAAATAACTTATTTTTGCAATAATATAACACTGACTTTTCTTTCCAGGATAAATGTGAAATTGGATGCATTTGAATCGATGGAGTTATCCCATTTCAACAAATAAACATAATTATATTATTACAATACTCTATCGATACAAAAACGTATAAAGTTGAAGTTTTATATCACGTATTTTTTAGTAATTTAAGTAAAAAACCGTGCGCGGTCGGCGGTCTACCGTCAGGAACGAAGTTTTTCATGTTATCTTTTTTTCAAATTCAGTACCTGAATTGAACCTAAACCACATTTAATAAGATAATCTATTTTTGTGTAATGTTTTTAGAAATGAGATATACAGCTGACCTTGCACAATGGCTACTAATCGAATCTCGATACCCCTCACGCGCACGCAGATTAATAATAAATAAAGAGCGAAAAATCGCTCGGAGAGAGCATACCTTTTTTACCTTTTGTGGCGATTTGTATCAGTTGGTATGTTCTAATACAAATCTATATAAGGTAAGAAAGGTATGCCTGCATAAGAACTTCGTTCCAAAAATCGTAAAATACTTATCGCTTGGCTGTGCCTTACTTTTATGCATACAATATTATATAATTTTAGTGGCTATCTCACGTATTAATATATTTGCAAATTAAAAGAGACGTAGTTTTATTTTTTATCACCAAAGACATGCCACTAGGGCAGTGTAAATAGCCGAAAGAGATTTTGTGTGGTGTGGTGAATTACATTCTTAAAATTGAAAGGTCAATAACAAAAATATATTAGTTAATAAACTTTTGAGTTGACTTTTGTACGGAATCATGGTTAAGAATTTATAGAGAAATTGAGTGACTAAATCTAAATGCAATAATAAAATCTTAGGACACACAGTACCATCTAGTCCCAAGCTAACAAAACCTGTGTTATGAGTACTGGACTATTGTCATAAATACATAGATACAGTTTTTTTGTGAACATTTATGCATATTCTATATTGTTATAAATACGTAAAAAATTCAAAGTGATACAATCATGCTTACATGTATATACCGTGCCAGTAATTGCGCCCGCGTGTTAAATCACCAGAATACATAGCGTTTTACTTTACCTTCGCCATCAATGACTTTTATTCATTATAAAATTCGGTGTACTATTGAAAAAGTTAGAGAAAAATATTTTATCCATTAAGTCTTATCCAGCAAAATTTAACTATTTATATGACGAAGCCTTTAATGAACTGTGTGGGGGGAAAACGCTTCTTGTCAACTTCTTGGCAACTTGTCATTTATTTCAATTTAAATAATTTAATAATATAGTAAATATACAATAGTCAATTCGGTTTTTCCAAAGGTCGTTCAACTCTAAACGCAGGTGCAGAGTTGCTCAGACACGTATTTGCTGCATGGGAAAATAAAATGGATGCGATTGGTGTTTTTTGTGACCTTATTAAGGCTTTTAATTGCGTTGATCATAACACATTATTGAAAAAACTTGCTTTTTATGGCGTCAAAGACAACGCTTTAAATTCAATAAAATCTTATTTACCTGATAAAATACAGAAAGTAAAGGTTAGCAGCGCTACGTCTGACGGGTCACTTGGGTGTACCTCAAGAATCTATTCTCGGCCCATTTTTATTCCTAGTTTACATTAATGATCTCCAATATGCCATGCAGGATATATGCGGGATAGTGTTATTTGCAGATGATACTTCATTGATTTTTAAAGTTAATAGAGTGACTAATAATTATGACGATGTAAATAGAGCTTTGCGACGTCTCTTGCACTAGTTTACAATTAACAATCTTATGTTAAACGCTAAAAAAACAAAATGTGTTATTTTTTCTCTGTCTAAAAGTTTTAATACTAATCGCAACATAAAATTGAATGACGAATCTCTCGAATTTGTAGAATCTACTGTCTGTCTAGGAATCATACTAGATAATAAAACACAATGGGGTGCACAAATTCAAAGCCTTGCAGCGAAACTGAGTTCAGCAGCTTTTGCTGTGCGTAAGGTTAGACAGTACACTAATACGGATACTGCTAGATTAGTCTATTTTAGTTATTTTCATAGTTTACTCTCTTATGGAATATTATTATGGGGAAAAGCTGCAGATATTAAAAATATATTTATATTACAAAATCATGCCATTCGAGCGATCTACTGTATGAATAGCCGTAACTCATTAAGAGAGAAATTCAAACAGGCAAATATTCTCACTGTTGCTACTCAATTTACATATTCAAATATCCTATATGTTCATAAAAATCTTGACTTATTTCCAAAAAACAGCAATATTCATAATATTAATACTAGATTTAAAGACAAACTTGCCGTCCCCAAGTATCGTTTAGAAAAAGTCAATAGGTCTTTTATGGGAATAGGTATAAAAATTTACAATAAGATACCAAAGAATATATTGGAATTACACTTAAATAAATTCAAAACATCTGTTAAATCATATTTACTGAGCAAAGCCTATTACTCACTAAACGATTACTTGAATGACGAGCGTGCATGGCAAAAGTTGTTCATGTACGGGATTTTCATTTAATGTTAGACACCTATATAAATAACTATACATTGTAAATAAACTGGCTTAAAAAAAAATTAATTCAATTGAGTTTCTTGCCAGTTCTTCTCAATCGGATCTATATACCGAACTGGATGGTAGGGAAAAAAAATTATAATGTAAAAACATGACGTTCATAAGCGGCTAAAATGTCCTACATGAATAAATGATTTTTGAATTTTGATTAGAGTAGAAAAAGCCAAACATGGTCGTAGTTATCAGTTCTACTACAAAAACCGTAGATCCATGAGGACATGGAGGAACTATTCAAAGAGAGCGAAGTGCTTACTATTTATCTAAAACTACAAATAACAAATATTTCTAGACATGCTCCGCTACTATTACGTACTACAACGTGAATATACTCAAAATATTAGATAGTACTCCTCCCGAGCACGTATTGTCTTCATAATAATCGATCACAGTCAAACCAGGGGCTCTTAACTTGTTCACGATCAAAGATAAGTGTGTGAATTTTACGGATCACACCAGGTAGTAAATAACTTGAACTCTATGGTTATACTTGACTGACGTGAGTGAGGAGCGAATGAGGAGGAAGTTTGACTTAAGATATAAATCTGCGATCTAAGCTAGAAAGGATAACCCAGGAACAGTATGAGGGATACGCTTATTCCCATCCCCTGCAGCTATTGCTGACGTCTTCCGGAGATTTGTAAATGAAGAGTTCATGTTAAATTCCATATATAAGATGTTGTTACAATGTATACAAGATCTTATCTAGTCACAAAATGTGAATTAATTTAACTAATTATTTTTATTAGGATAAATATATAGATTTGATGTTTGGGCGCCCAACATTTAACATATTCCTTGCCTGATACCTCTTATAGAGGAGAACAACTTGTCGCGAGTGAGGATGTAGATCCGTCACCGGTCTTTTGTCACCGAGAGTTTGTTAACTGCTGTGCAGGCCATAACGCTTCCGGTGGTCAGGTTTCCGCGCTGAATATTTCTAGTTCTATTAAAGTATTGAAATGGTCTTCTGAGGAACGGCGCCTTATTCGATAAACTATATAACAGTATAGGTTACGACCATCATTATCAAGTGCTTCAAAATATCACATTTCGCGAGGCCATCTCTTTATTAAAACCGGACATTAAAGCGAATGTTTTATATACTCAAAAATTATATCTATAAACAGTTGCTGATATTAGATGTCATTTAATTTCTATCTAACTCGCTTAGAGTGAACATATGGATGACAGGATAGTGATGAGAACTGTTGACTCATCACAAGTTCAAACACTGATTACTCGTACCGATTAGAATCACCTATTAAAAGCGTATTTCTTATTCGAAATTTGCACAATTCACATTAACACACTACAATTGTAAGAGTTAAAAATGCACAGATGATTACTGATAGATCACGAATTTAAACTAAATAATTCTTCGTCGAAAGGTCGTTATCAGTGTTTGGGTTACTTAGTTCTCCCGGTGGTGATGTAAAAGGGGTTGTTTAGAAGCGGCGTGTCAGTGCCGGTCTACAGTAGTGAGTTAGCGTCGATTGGCGGCGCGTGATTGCGCAGCGCGTCGCGTATGTATCCGCTGATGTTGCTATCGGCGACCAAATGGAAGAAGAACAGGTGCTCGAAGCTCTTCAGCGAGATGGAACGAAGCGCCGGCAGTCGCAGCAGCAGCGAAGCGAAGCGACCCTCCTCTGTGCTGCGCGCCCGCCGACAGTACTCGTCCAAACATGAGAACATCTGCAAAGCAATTATGGACATTCAATATTTGTTTGTAATATTAATTACTTTATTCCACTTCTATGCGAGCGCAAGTTTCATAGAAACATGGACCATTAGCGGTCCAATTGATGCAAAATGATCATATTATATATCATATAATAACATTCAATAGACAAAAAGCAAAGGGGCAACTCCTTTGCAAGCTTGTCCACAAAAGTCGGCGATAATAATATAATAGACATAGTCAATCAGAAATACTTAAAACTTACCTTCTCTCTTAAAACTTCAACTTCCTGTCGATTTTTCAATCCTTTTACATCTGGAAATTAAAAAAATAAATTATTATTACTGATACACAGGACACCGTTTACATTTCTAAACAATTTGTACACATTTAAATGTGTTTCTGTTTGAATATAAATATTTCTAGACATTACTAAGATGCGACTTGTACTTATACATCCATTGCAACGATGGCCTAAACCGATATTCGAACCTTAGCGAGGTGCCGTCTATTAAAATATGCGTAAGGCAGAAGTTGATTCAGCAGTTAAAAGCCGCGTGTTCGGTTTGCCCTCTGCACCCGCCACCATTTTCGTCCGGTGAAGTTCTAAAGGTGTAAGTACATAGCAATATATTGAGAACATTGAATAATACAAAATTTCGTGATGATAATCATTTTAATTACCATTCATCTTAAAGCTATGTCTATACAAAAAATATAACTTAAATTTAGTCAGATAATTAGTGAACATCATTATATATCATCTCACAACCGCTGCAACACCATCATCATAAATTCAAACCCATCCAAATAATAATATCATTGTTCAACATTTTCCTTCAATACAACAGAAACACTGGTTACCAATATCAACAAAATAGAATGCCATGAAAACTTCACCATTTATTCATACATAAATAACCTACATGTAAATATTTTAATTTATTAAACTAGCCATAAACATCTCGATAATAAGAGTTCTATTGTATTGAGCTCCCTATGTACGCTTCTATCTGTCATGAATATTAGATACAGTTACATAAAAAATAATTCACCATAATCCATGCTATTCAACAATTTTGTAATTCAATTAATTATTATGTTCTACATTTTTATTAATACTGGTTATTTTTAAAAAAAAAATATCAGCTGAAATGCACATTTAGTCAAAAAATAAAAATAAAACTGGCCTAATTATAACAATAACCATGATATTTGTTACTCGACACTACATAGGCCATCATTAACATTTGTCCATCACTCCATTGGTGATGTATATATTAATTAAAATAATGAATATAAGATATTAGATTTATATTGTACACAAAGGTATATTTACAGCTTTATATGTATAACTTATACTATAGAGAAAGTAACATATTTTCCATTGAAGAATATTTGTTATGCATATTTGATATGCAGTTGCACAATTGTAATGCAGGTAAAGCACCAAAAGTATGTTTTAAGTGAAATATATAATGACAATGTAAAATATATAAATGTTCTTTTAGAATTTAACTTTTTCAACAACAAATCTGTTCTTTCGTACAGTAATCTCGGACTGGACAATCCATTATATATATTAACATGTGCTTTGAAGAGATTTGGTAAAAGTTAACATTACGCGTATAATCTAGTATTATGTTTATAATAATTCACTATAGATGAACTACTTGACGAATAGAATTCTCTAATAAACGAACGACTAATTACATTAACATTAACACTACATAATAATAATAATAAAAGAGGCGGCCCCATTTACATTATCTAACCTGAAGTTCGCTCTTATATATGTAGTAGTATGCGACGCGCCCCTCGCGCTCGCATCGCCTGCTCCGCTACTATTACGTACTACAACGTGAATATACTCAAAATATTAGATAGTACTCCTCCCGAGCACGTATTGTCTTCATAATAATCGATCACAGTCAAACCAGGGGCTCTTAACTTGTTCACGATCAAAGATAAGTGTGTGAATTTTACGGATCACACCAGGTAGTAAATAACTTGAACTCTATGGTTATACTTGACTGACGTGAGTGAGGAGCGAATGAGGAGGAAGTTTGACTTAAGATATAAATCTGCGATCTAAGCTAGAAAGGATAACCCAGGAACAGTATGAGGGATACGCTTATTCCCATCCCCTGCAGCTATTGCTGACGTCTTCCGGAGATTTGTAAATGAAGAGTTCATGTTAAATTCCATATATAAGATGTTGTTACAATGTATACAAGATCTTATCTAGTCACAAAATGTGAATTAATTTAACTAATTATTTTTATTAGGATAAATATATAGATTTGATGTTTGGGCGCCCAACATTTAACATATTCCTTGCCTGATACCTCTTATAGAGGAGAACAACTTGTCGCGAGTGAGGATGTAGATCCGTCACCGGTCTTTTGTCACCGAGAGTTTGTTAACTGCTGTGCAGGCCATAACGCTTCCGGTGGTCAGGTTTCCGCGCTGAATATTTCTAGTTCTATTAAAGTATTGAAATGGTCTTCTGAGGAACGGCGCCTTATTCGATAAACTATATAACAGTATAGGTTACGACCATCATTATCAAGTGCTTCAAAATATCACATTTCGCGAGGCCATCTCTTTATTAAAACCGGACATTAAAGCGAATGTTTTATATACTCAAAAATTATATCTATAAACAGTTGCTGATATTAGATGTCATTTAATTTCTATCTAACTCGCTTAGAGTGAACATATGGATGACAGGATAGTGATGAGAACTGTTGACTCATCACAAGTTCAAACACTGATTACTCGTACCGATTAGAATCACCTATTAAAAGCGTATTTCTTATTCGAAATTTGCACAATTCACATTAACACACTACAATTGTAAGAGTTAAAAATGCACAGATGATTACTGATAGATCACGAATTTAAACTAAATAATTCTTCGTCGAAAGGTCGTTATCAGTGTTTGGGTTACTTAGTTCTCCCGGTGGTGATGTAAAAGGGGTTGTTTAGAAGCGGCGTGTCAGTGCCGGTCTACAGTAGTGAGTTAGCGTCGATTGGCGGCGCGTGATTGCGCAGCGCGTCGCGTATGTATCCGCTGATGTTGCTATCGGCGACCAAATGGAAGAAGAACAGGTGCTCGAAGCTCTTCAGCGAGATGGAACGAAGCGCCGGCAGTCGCAGCAGCAGCGAAGCGAAGCGACCCTCCTCTGTGCTGCGCGCCCGCCGACAGTACTCGTCCAAACATGAGAACATCTGCAAAGCAATTATGGACATTCAATATTTGTTTGTAATATTAATTACTTTATTCCACTTCTATGCGAGCGCAAGTTTCATAGAAACATGGACCATTAGCGGTCCAATTGATGCAAAATGATCATATTATATATCATATAATAACATTCAATAGACAAAAAGCAAAGGGGCAACTCCTTTGCAAGCTTGTCCACAAAAGTCGGCGATAATAATATAATAGACATAGTCAATCAGAAATACTTAAAACTTACCTTCTCTCTTAAAACTTCAACTTCCTGTCGATTTTTCAATCCTTTTACATCTGGAAATTAAAAAAATAAATTATTATTACTGATACACAGGACACCGTTTACATTTCTAAACAATTTGTACACATTTAAATGTGTTTCTGTTTGTGATTACTAACCTACATCAAGTACTTTATTTGCCACAATAGCTGTCTGTGACTATTATTTGCAATGCCAGTGGTGAATGTAAATCATATAACATGGTAAGCAGAGCTTGTTATCTTATGTATATACATAGAACAGACCGACAAACAATCACACTCATAAATAGAAATGTTGTCGCTACCAGCGGCAATGTCTAAACCACCACGCTAGACCACCCAGACCGTTAAACACGTCATTAACGATCATATAATAAAAGTATTCAGCATTATATCGACCTGGGTTAAGCAGGATGATGGCCTTGAGCGCGACGTACTCCGAGTGGTCCATGCGTAGTGAGCGCATCTTGAGCGACAGCTCCGACAGCACACGGTCAAAGATCTGCCCCACGCCAGCCTGCAGTGCCGAGTTGCGGTGCAGCGTCATGCCTGCAAATTTAATACAACTATACTAAGTAAAAATATTAATAACCAGTTTTTACCCACGCCTTCGTATGATATATAGATTAGGATGAATAGAGGCCCGTGATCTCCATTTTAGTTACTAGCAAATTTGATTGCAAATGATTAGGTATTATCATAAACTGCTATTAATAGAGTACTAGCTAGTTTCCGCTTGTCGTTTACTTTTTAAGGTAAGATAGCCTATGTACAATGAACGTTTCATTAAGATTCGTAAGGTAATAAACAGTCAGATAGATAAACATACTTTACCATTAATCATTTTATAATAGTATAGACAATTGGCAGTAAGCTAGACATAGTTTTTTGGCAGGGATGCCAGAAATACTTAAAATTATAGCTCATCGAATATACACATCTACCATATACATATAATAAAATTGAAGCGTCTGTTTGTAATATTGAAATAATGGTTTTTTACTACATGCATATGAATATTAATATGGTACATACACCAAAATAACATTTTTTACTATTTTTGTCTGTCTGTCTGTTTGTTCCGGCTAATCTCTGAAATGGTTGGATTTAACTTAGGCTACTTTTAGTTTAGAAAAATAAAGTTAGCATACAATATAATAACACTATAACAATAATAATAATATAACACATATATGTAGTAAGAACATACCTGGCATGAGACACATGAGCTGCGGTGGTGATGTAGTTCTCGAACCGTCCATATTGTCTCGTTCGTCATTCAAGTACTGAAAGAAATGTATTACATAATTATTATTTTAGATAGATATATTATTTAAGGAAATAGAAATACCTAAATTATATACATGATTAGTAAAAATTGTGTAAAAGAAACTTACCTCCATAGATCGCCAGGCGATTGCGAACAGCAGCAACTCATTCCAGGACGCTTTGATCAGCATGACCTGGTCTTCTAGCTCCAACTGTCCAAAATGGGGAATGTCTCGGGCCCACACTACCAGCGCCGCGATTTGTTTATTGCCTAGAAAGTAAGTTGTATAATTTTAAATACAAAACAAGTTTATAATCAGGTAAACGTTTTGTTTCCTTGTCATACAATCAGTCCTCCTAAGTATATCCTGAATAATACGAAATTCTAGAATTCAATTATGCATTCTTGTATATTTGTGTACAACGCCATCTAATGTTTAATTCAGAAAATATAAGTTTCAACTAAGGCCGCTAGATGGCGTCATAATACCGCTAGATGGTGTCATAATGCCGCTGGATGGCGTTATAGTGAATCTGAAAAAATATTATTAACAATAATCTTGCATTCTTGTGAACAGCGAAAATACATTTTTATTTTACTAATATAATGTTATTAATAAAGATTTATAACAACAGACGGTACTTATAATTTATTTAATGAATTATTTATACATAAATAATTGCAATCGTCACACAAACGTAATTACTTATGAACAACAATAAAATCTATATTGTTATAAGACTCACAAGTGTACTATGGGTGACCTAAAACAAGCAAAACATCAACAGTAGGTAATATTGTGTCATCAAATTATTATAATACCAACACATTCCATACAGGGGGAGTAATCGGTAAACGGCATTCCGTCGAGCATTCCGCATATTAAATATATTGAAAACTGTTTTCCGTCTGGCTGCCAAATTATAAATCACATCTATTGTGATATTCATAAGAATATATGCAAATCTGTGTGCGTGAGTATGTTTCGCCAATATTTGTTGTCAAGAATCAACTTACTTTGTAGGATGAGATATGTCAGATAAATTATACAGAAACTTCTTAATTCATAAAATAAATTGTCCTTAGAGCTGACAATGCACGTGAGATAAAGTCACATATTTTGATGTCTTTACTGCTATTCATGTAACTATAAGTTACGTTAAATAAAAGACGTTAAAAATTTCCATGGGCCGTAAAATATTTAGGTATAGTAACTTGAAAAATTCCCGTAATACTTCATTTTGAAACCAATATCATCTATTTTCTTCTAAAGTGATAAAAAAACAATGTAAGTAAGTAAAATAATAATTCAAAAGTATAATAATATTTATTGTCGTGATACTGCCTGTATCGGTTCAATAACACAACACTTCACTAACAAACAATACATTGAAAATCAATAGACAATATCATAATGCAAAAAAATGTCAGAATCTGTAATTTATTTATGTATACTTCACCAAGTATTTAATGTCAATAATTATTCATTTATACCGTATTGCAAATAAAAGATTGTATGGTAGCTAGCTACTAATCATAACTATTAATAAATACATTTATACATAAATATTTGACAGATAGAAACCAGTTTTTATATACAATTGATTAAAATTATTATAATTAGAACTGTACACGCGGCTTTGTTTACACAAACTAAATATATAAGATATTCGTGTATTAATAACTTGGGCCTACCTGTGTAATTAATGCAATTTAAATAAGTCCAGACCTAGTCATAATCATACAACCATCTGTACAATCTCTCACATTTATAACATCAGTCAGTAACATAATAAAATCAAAACTAATATCTTATATGACTCTTGAAAATATCTAAACTCAATATTGTTACTAAATAAAAACGTATATATACATATTTGATATCATGTAAAGTATTGGATGTTCTATTATTCAATATTACATTCTCTTCTCTGTGATATTACGTAGCCATCTATGAAACAACGTGTCAGATATATTGTGAATAATTCTAGAATGGGCACTATCATTTACACATAATTACCGTGGAATTTAATTAAAAGCTCTCGAGTCTCAGACAAACAATAATAACAAATGAAACGGCAAACAATTCACTCTCAAACAATAGAAATGTCTTAATTACAAATTGTTTTATATTTGATCTAGAAGCATATAAAAAGTAAATTATTTGAAGATGTATTCCTAGTAACCGTACGACGTTTATAATTTGAAAGTTATAGAACTTTAAATTTCCTGTTTCTAAAGGGCTGCCATCGACAACAGAAAATTAGACATAACTAAGGAGTATCAAATATCTGACAGAATAAAGCGAATAGTTCAATAGTGCACGTTTCACTGATCACAGTAGTGAAAAATTTATGATAATCATGTTGAATTCATACAATATTTCTTCAAAATTCATGATTAATCTGTCCTAAATTGTCCCTAATGACCTATTAATATATTTTTTTAAATTGAGTATTATTCTTTACGTTTAAGAATGGGGAAATTGCGATTCCTATCTAATGACACCTACAAACGATAAACACTTTCCTTTTTTAAATATTTTATGTTGTACTCTGAATACTGCTATTGGTTATGGGTTAAAATAAACAGAATATTGAATCTTCAATTATAGATAAGTAAACCTATTAATTATAGAAAAATCGATGTCTTGTAGACCATGACGTCAGGAGCAAACCAGTATTTAATTATGTATACATAATTATGTAGGTACATAAAATATATCTATGGAATTTTTATCATCTTAGCATCCAAATAGAGTTGTGAGCAATAAAACTTAGGACCGCAAGGACTTGAGGTCGTGTGTATATAATTGAATCAATCTCGGCAATAAAGCATAACTAGCGAATCGATTCGGTCCGAGACTCCGAGTTATATTCGCTGCTTCGTTCCAATTTGACTAGGCAACTCTGCTATTGATTGTGTTATATTTTATTTATTTCAAGATGGCATACTACATTGCACTTATATTTAGTTCAAATGTGTATTCATGTATTGGTCTATGTGTTTAAAGGTCTATTTTTATATCAATTGTTATAATATATCATTATTTCTTATGTATGTCTGTCAAAAGGTATTTATAATATGGGTCATGTAGCCTTAATTGAATAAAATAAATAAAATATAAAATTAAATTTAAAATAAAACTAGTTTTTTTTATTTATAATTGTATGTCAAAAGTCAGAGTGAAATTGAGAAAGGACATTTTTAGCCACTGAAATGTTTTTATCACTATCGCTTAATTCGTCCAGTTCGACGGTTAGTTCAGTTGACAAGAACTGGCAAGAAGCTGAACTGATACATTTTTATACATATGACTATCATTCGGCGTAATTTATATTAAAAAAAAACATTACACGACAACGTTTATTGGTAAGCTTAAATAATAAAATAAATAAATAAATTATTAATTCCCTTTTTTTTAATATATTTTTAAACTATTTATTAGGAATACTAATATCGTTTTTGAATCATCATAAACATTGCGTCAAGTGTTTCCAATTTTGAATTGTGGTGAATTATTATGAAGCATTGTTCGCGATTGCCATAGTACAGCTAATTTTATGTAGGGGTCAGTACAAAGACGCAGTTATTTGAGTAACATATTAGCTCGCGTCGTCACACCTCGGCTGTATCACTGCACCTATGTTCATTAAGGTTATTTGGGCTCCGCAACGTGTGATACAAAATAATTTTATATTACCTACCACGACATACCGTCTATCGTCTTCAACATAGGGTCAAAATAATTTTAAGTGCATGAAATAAACCTTTATAAAAACAAAAACATATTGACATAGTGGCATGATTTAAATTCCATATGTCGTAAGTTCGTCGTAAGTTTGAACTTGCCCGATGGTGGAAAAACCGAAAGTCGGCGATAGGTTCGCCTAATTTATACCTACTTAGCTACATAAGAAGATCATCACGACTTTTAACAACCCGATCTGGTATAGCTGTCGTCAAGATCAAGATCAAGAAGATATTTGCTATAAAGAAGTGTCATCGGAATTTATGTATTGCGTTACTTATATTTGATGTCGCCCGATTAATCTTGATATACCGACCTCATTATTTATGAATTGATAACCAAGTAGTGTGTTTATTTAACACGTATTTCAATAACTTTATTATATAATTTAAGACTTCTACAGCACCTATTTTAAGTTACAGTACCTAAGTTTCCAATAAAAGTCGATTAACTTGTCGGGTTTCTTGGAAACTCAGTATATATGTATATTTTAGGTATAGAGCTGTTATAGACATTAATTACTTGAAATAATAATTACAGCTAACAATAAACCTTGCTTTATGTAAGAACAAATAGTCTAAGTAAAAATAAATGATAGGTCTATATGGTTAAAAAAACCGCCTATCAACGACACATATCTAGTAATAAGGTCCTGTACTCACCACACAAGCATGTATACTGAAATTCATGCTAGTGTAATGAGAATTGGACCTTTAACTCGTATATTTTTAAACAAAGACGTAATAGAATTTAAGCCAACAACTATGGAGCGAGTATAAACAGTTCGCTATCGAAATAGACAAGCTTTAAAAATTCATCAGTATTGACAACAAGCAATTATTATTTGAGCGGTAAAAGAGACTGTATTTGACGATGTAATAACCCACAAGTTTTCTACTTAATGGGCTATTATATTAAAGTACATACATTACAAGACTAGACCTATTTGTTAGAAGTTATAAATGTCTTTTTGAAAGCTTTGTTGAAAAGATTTAATTTAATATCAAAAAAGAAAAAAGTGGTAAAGTACAAAATTGATTATCCTATCCTATACATGAACTAAAGTCAAATAGACATTGCTTCAGTTACAGCTGCTGCCGTATAAAACTCAAACTCAATTATCTATGTAAGTAATGTAAGTAATAATCAATAATAGCTAACCAGCGCAACTTCGTCCGTATTACACTTACTTGAAATTTATCATAATATTTCGGCAAATTTATATACCTAATATGTATTAAATTATAGGTTATTTAAATATATATGTTACTCTAATGTATTAGCTATATTACTGCAAAGTTTCATCAAAATCCGTTTAGTAGTTTTTGTGTGAAAGAATAAGAAACATCTTACCAAACCTTCGCGTTTATAACATTAGTAAGAAGTAATATTTATATTTCGTAATTTAAAGTTTTAACTAATAATATACAAGCGAAGGAATGTTTTATATACTACAGTAGAATTAATGACACTAATACTGGCTGACAAATAATAGGATTTTATCATTTTTTAATAGACAAATAGTATTTTCCTGATACTCAACTAACTTATTTCACAGTTGAATAGAATGGAAAAAAAATTACTCATAAATAACTACTATATTTCTGTGGATGCGTATGTAAACCTGTTTATATATTAAGAATGTATTGTATATATTTCCAAATAAAAGATATTCATTTTTTTTATTCTGTCATGGATTAACAAAAGATCAATATAGTAAAACGGACGTTTTAATGTATACATATTACTTACCTATCTGACACAGGCTGGATACAGGTGCCCGGAACTTAGCAGGCACGTTGCTTTCGGAGCTCACGCGAAGGAACTGGAACTCCTCGCTGGTGTCCGCCACAAGGGCCTCCATCTCCAATAACCGCTCGATTGACAATTCCTGTACATTATTAAAAGATTTTAACAAACAAGTGCCAAAATAAAACATAAAAGGCTTATATTTCGAAATTTTTATAATTTATGGGTACTTCCACAATTAAGATATATTTACACTCAAATGTACAATTAATATTAGTAAATTATGCTAAAGAATTTGCTTTGAGCGTAAATTTTCAGCTCGAAATAAGACACTGTGATTGAATTATTTCAGACCAAAGTTCGGAATACTAGGTAAAGTTTTGTTAAATTTATACTCGCTAAAGTTTCTAGATAAAATTTATGTCGAAAATCAGGCGTTGATAAAAACCGCATAGTATTTTAACATGTATAATCTATATATATGCATATATAAATTGAAAGTAAATATGTTACTTCAAATATGTCAAACAACCACAATATTTATAAGAACATAACAGAGGTTTTAAACCTCAGGGACATGAATGAGATCACAATAACAGAAAATAAGTACCTATATTATCTATAAAGGGTAAGTGAGGTGGGTTGATTATATCACTACTAATGTACGGCAATAACAATTTTTCATGTCGAAGGAAATTGGATTTAATGATATGCGATTTAATGTCCCGAGTACTTACTACAATAGCATTGCTGTTATTAAATTCTTATGGAACCTGTTAGTGGATCAACACCTGCTCGATACGTTTACTCACCCACCCTTCTTAAGGCCAAAAAAAATCAAGACAATTGTACTAATTTATTTAAAAATTCGTAATCCTAGATAAAGTTTATGTGGAAACAAGTACAAGGCCTGACAAGACCGTATATTTTATATTATTGAGATTTGATGATTGAGAGAAGATTATATAAGAATTTATATCTTTATTCCTCATGATTCAGAGTTTCGAAAGGTTGTGTTTTTGATGGTCGAAAGAACAGTGTATTTTCGCACATATGGGGTCAGTCACACGTAGAATACTCATGAAACTGAACTACTTTTACCAAGAAATATGGTAGAATATCAATTATGATCTTTCACATACAATTGAAATATCAAAATTGATCCTAGCAAAATAAAGACAGTTTTTAAAATACTTTTCATTTAATTTCGTTTTACGTCTTTGGAAATATCGTCGAGTTTCATCAATAGTTTGATGATGTAGCTTTCGGGCTTAGTATTTACAAATAACCCTGCATACAAATATTGACTTAATAAATAATACCAATAGCTAATAAGATCACACAAAAAATAATATTTGATTCAACTGTACAAATATAAATTGAACAATTTTCGTTGATGTTCTAAATTACATCATCGACAGCTCTTAAATAATATATAGTAATGTGACATCTGTTAAAGTTGGTAAAGTGTAATTAAAATGAAGTCACATCTAGATTTGGAGGATTGCGTGGTCATGACATCATATCTCCACCGTCTATTTCTAGGGCTCATAGTAATCAAATAAATTGCCTAGTCTTTCAATGAACGATTCTCCTTGGTGAGCTATCATTACGCACTTCCTTATCGAGATCGGGATTGACGAGGTTACAGGGAACGTGTCGTTCATATTACATAGACCAAGATTAGTTATAAAGGATAAAAAATGGTTACAAATACAAATCCCCATTTTTTTATATTTTCAGTAAATTATGCTAAAATATTATTGACAACTTTGGATGTTTAGCACAATTTTAATTAAGTACTAGAACACCGTGCATTTAATTTGGGATTTCATAAGAAAATATTTTACTACTATTCGAATTACATACATAAAATAGATATCTACTGCCATCACCTGGAAGTACGGATGTAATCATATTTAATCCAACATGAACACTACTACTACTACTACAGTTTTCTATCATAACCGGAGATTAATTTAATTGATATTAACACATACGGTACCTACGGAAGAATACCTAAGTTGTTAAATCCTGGACGAGCAGGATTTAACAACTTAGGTATTCATCCGTAGGTACCAATGTGAATTTATATCACAAGTTGTTTATGAATTCGTGTATGCGAATCTAATGCGATCGGCTAACGCCTTATTATAAAGAACTTCGATATACTGCCTTATGGTTTAATTTGACCACTGATATATGTAATGTTTAATGTTAATCAAAGAAGATTGCAATAAAACGACAGCAACCAGTACCAAAACGACAAGCTATCAGCATACAATACGTATTCGCCAAATACAAATGCCGCTGCGTCATTAACTTCGCAAAAAAGCAACACGATGTGAGATCGATAAGTTGAAAGACGCAGTAAACAATGAATTCTGTGCCGAATCACAGCTCAAGCGTTTCTACTACACTCGTTTTAATTAGCGATTTAATTATGAGCTATTAGCACAATGTTTAATTAAGGCGTAAGAGAGGAGAACAGATTAAATATTAATTATTTGCTTGCGGCAAAAGACTCGAGGTAGAAATTATTAAATTTCCATTCTGCAAGAACAAGATACAATGCATAGATGTACGACATAGGTAATTTCAATAGTATAAAAAAGTTAGGTATTTATTGATAGCAATACTAGAGTACTATCTGTAATAATTTTATTAATCCTAAACACTATTTTAATACAAAATTGTTAGGATCTCCGAATCTCTAGTTAGTGGAAAAGTGCTGTACGATTTAATTTATGGGCTAATATTAACACGCAAAGCACGCGCCGTTGCGTTAATCTACATATATGTCCATCTATGAATCAGCAAGTTTACTCTAAAATCTTATCTCAACATTCGATGATCGATTACTGTCCAATCCAACATTTTTTTCATGATATATGACACTAGTACTTATGTAATTCAAGAATATGAAACGCAATACTAAATAGATATAGTAATTACATAGAGGTAGAATTGGCTGGTAAAGAAAGTAAATGTAGTGAGGTGTTCTTACTTGTACTGAGCTGCTCGGATGGGCATCCTCGGTCCCCCTAGCGGCGCGCTGCCGCTCCTCCTGCACGGCTTCTCGTTTCATGCCACATGACAGGCATTTTTGATATCGGCAAAATTGGCATCTGTTCCTTTGCCGTTTGTCAATAATACAATTTCGCTCCTCGCGACAAGCATAAGAGAGATCCTTTCTCACAGTCCGCTTGAAGAAACCCTTGCAGCCCTCACAACTGAAAATAGAGGTTATAATCGTTTATTTTTTTCCTCTGTGTGTTGGACATTCTTATTATTTTATAACGTAATGTGGACGCAATATTTAAACTACAGTGAATGTCCCGACGCAGAACCGTTCCTTACTAGCTAATCTAATTACATATATATATAAATATCTATTGTCGTTCTTCTCATATCATAAAGTTTCTTCATATAAATGAATAACATATTTCCTTTATTTGATTTGTTGCTTATTCACAATGGATATTAATATCCTAATATTTTACTGAAAACAAACTAATATGAAGTCGATTTATATAAAATTAAATGAAGAAAATTACATATATTTCAAGTAAAAAATTAAATAATATTCTCTGTTACAAGTCAAGAAACACAGATTGTAGAGCGGGCGATGTCAACGATATGTAACGTAACAATGAAACATTAAAGTCATTAGGATGAATAAAGTTGTCTGCATTTAACATCATCATATAACTTTACCACATTTTTGTCAGGTTTAGTACATATTTTACACATTTACATATAGATAGGTATATCAAACGTGAACAAAAATAGATTATTATTTAATGGTTATAGTTGAGAGAGGATCCTTGATTGAGAGAATACAGTAAATTAAAAATATTTAAATATATCAAAAGTATTTTATATGTAATTGGAAACGCAGTTCTCGTCGGATGAAAGCAGCATTCCTCGCTTGCATGAAGGAAATGCCAGTGTAAACACTCATGAGTAACCATTCCTTAGGAATTTGGTGTTATGGTAGACATAACACCCTGTAAGCATTCTATCATTTTAAAACCATACCACTTCAAAACAAAACAGGTTTTTTGCAAGCTTCTGGAAGAAGAATTAGATGAGACTGAGGTTTTCATGTAGATTTCTATGATCAAAGTTTCCCTTTGGTAAATAGTTGATTTACTATTTTAGTAGATTTAATTTTCAATTTTAATTTATCACTACTAATATTTAATAGATATACAGTTTATAGCCCATAAACATCGCATTTATAGCACACCCTCAACTTTTATAATTCTACCCATATCATTACATATTCCACTATAGACATTACTAATATAATAAAACATATTGATTTTACATAATTTTTATGATACCTGTGATAGGACGCTGAAGTTTTGGTACAATTATTCAGTTCATATAATGTCACGGATGTATTAACTTGATTACATATTTACCACGCGCAATATACTAAATGACAAAAACTACTCTTTTATCTTTAATTATCTACTCGCCCCGGCTTCGCACGGGTGTACAATGGTGTACATGTATTATATATATAAACCTTCCTCTAGAATCACTATGTATGAAAAACCCGCTTCAAAATCTGTTGCGTAGTTTTAAAGATTTAAGCATACATACGGACAGACAGCAACAGCAAGTTTATTTTATACTATGTAATGATAATTTTGTTTTATTTCATGTTTTTCACTTTAATACATTTTTTTCACAATTAATGTATTCTCGCATACAATACTGTTATTTAAACAAAGGAATCAAAATGTAATCAAATACCACAGGCTATCATTAATTTTGTTTGATGTCGCCGCTAAAAACCATCCTTAAACCAATATAATATAACAGATATTCAATTTGCACAGACATTAATTACACAAAACCAAAATCGATTAAGGTGTGTATAAATATATTTACTTACTGCGTAGTTAAATTCCCAACGCATTTTATTAAGATTGCCGTAAGATTCAAAATTGAACGTAATATTTCAAACAAATTGAAAGAAGATAAAATCAAAGGGTGTAATCATAAAAAGATTTGTGAAAATTATTCAGATTCTCACAGAAACTCAACCGTAAAAGGTGTTATTTTTTACACCTGACAAGGTCGCTTTGCAGTAAGCAACAGATATTGGCAATTAAGATTCATATATATATATACCTATATATATATTTGTACTGTAAGTTACTTTAGAGCTTAATTAACACAACTAATTAAACACAATTAAAACCAGTTTATGAGTTGAAGTAAAATTTAATGGGTAGATAATAATATTCGAATTAACTAATCTAAATTATTATTAACTACTTAGAGTTATAATATCTTAGCAAACTGACAAAATAAAGTCCATAATGGATATTCACATATTGGAGTTTCATTTAATGAGTTCTAGTTAAGTATAAAAATCTTTGTTACTGAATTTTGACGAACTTGCTTGGTGTTATTGTAACCTTTTTCATCACTTATTATAAAATGCCGAAATTCAACCTAATATATAAATCAACTATCGATCCACCTCGGCAAGAGTATAAAGTGTATGTGAGGCTGTATGTACCATACGTCTGTATTTTACTTATGAACCTTCCGGAAGAGATTCTCTAGACAAATTCTAGTAAAACCCATAATTAGATCAGAATCCGTTGCTTGGTTTAAAAGTATACAGGGAAACAGAATGATGAAACCAGTGATTTTGCTGTATAATGTCCCTAGATATATTATATAATTATAGACTTACTTAAATAAAGATAACTATAGATAATAAATAATGACATCTAAAATTACTAGAGTTAAATAGTGAAACGTCTTTAATTCTGCACAGTTGCTCCTGTAATATTCTATCCTACAAACATTAAACCATAGTAAAAAAAAAATCAAATACTAAATCGCTTTAAGAGATTTAGTGCATTACAAACTAGAAAGGGCATTTGTAGAGTTTAAGCGTATATCAGGGTGACACTTCTGGTGATACAAGCGTCTATATACTACTATAACTAATATAGTTTACGATTAAATGTTTATCTGCCACTATTGTGGTATAAAAAACTATACATGTATGATGTATCTGAAGATTGTAGGTAGAAATAGATTATTTATTATTTAATTTTATTATTACACTTTTCCTCACAAGATTTATTGAAGTACGTACGGAAAATCATTGATTTTCCCTCTAGTCATTATCAACTTCTATACTGCTAAGACTGCCGACTGATAATTTTACATAAGAATGGTTTAAAAACATTTTATAGGTCATTAGAGAATAGTACAACGTAATTCGGAAAAGAAAACGGTGATATAAATAGTTACACGCGCACTATGTATGTATACATACTACCTACCCAGTATATACACACGTGCCAAAGAATGAGTTTACGAGTACATCTCATCACATATCATGTAGACGCGTATATAATTTACCTCGACTATGAAAAACTTAAAATATTATAACCATTACACATAATGTTGATGAATTTATATCGGCGTCGGTGCTTTAGCATAGCGCTTTAATTCCGATGGTCGCGGGTTTGAGGAATCAAACCCGGAATCAGGAATAAAACGGCGTATAAATGTGTATTCATGACTATGATTGTTTGTATCAGTCTGGGCGTTTTCTAAGGAGCTATTTACATTTTTTTTAATTTTTCATTGGGTCATTAATATAACTATATAAGCAAAATAACACATTCAATTCGAACTCTGATTTATATCATAAATTCAATAGTTGCTGAGCACTATTTAATAAAAATAAAATATTGACATTATCGATATTAAAAATGAATTCATGTATCATAAAGAAATAAAAAGTGCGTTTGCTTATGTTTTAAGCAATTCTAATGAAATTGATCAAATACGTATTTGAAATGGATGAGATATGGGTAGACAAATTTTTGTACTAATCGATCATGTTCACGAGCGAGTAGTTGCAAGCAAAATCTGGTATAATTATAATGTATAATACAGTTAGAACTAATGCCGGATTTCTGTTGAATTAATTAAGTCTAGTAACTCACACTTCCATTGGAAAACCTTTACAAATTGAGGTCTTTATTACATCCGAAACTAACAAATTTCATTTGAGGTGTATTTTAATTGTTATAGCCCAAGAGCCCACGACTGCCAGACATACGTCATTTTAATAAACGTGAAAGTTCTTGTATGTGTGTCCCCAACACAGGTAAGAACGATCCCCAAATATGAAACCTGGATCGTGGTTCCTTTGGCAGGTACCAGGTAACAAAGTGTATATATTTGGAACAGAAAAATTCCAACCCCCCGCCGGTCCCCCCTAAACTATACTAAACTATACGTCAAACCAAATTCGAAATTTATATATATTATTAAGAAACTCCATATTTTCAATATTGTCGCTTTAAGTACATCCGAAACTAACAAATTTCATTTGAGGTGTATTTTAATTGTTAGACCCCTAATAACTATACTATTTTATTCACTATTGTATGTTATTGAGGTATATATTTGGAACGAAAGAGTGGATAATTGAAAATAAGTTTTAATACATTTCGCTGAAAGTTCAGTTTCAAGAGACACAAAAAAAATGTGTTATAATTATTTCTGTTATATTCTGTTATATTACTCTCGAATTTGATATGAAATTGTATACACCGTTGTTACCCAATATACGGTTTCAATGAGTCTGGTATTAAACTGAACTCTCAATAATATATATAAATTACAGCTTTACAGTTTGCAATTGAACCAATGAAACAGGCTATTTCTTTAATCTAAACATTTCAAACAAAAATTTTAGCTATAGATTAACATAAACCAGCTGCTGATCATCAGATGATTTGCAAGTAAAAAGTTATAGATTTCTGCCATTATAACTATAATTTTAATTTAGATGTTCTAGATATGATATTTGATCAGACGTCTTCAATTCCAAACTACAAAGGTTGGTCGCACATTTAACAAAAATAAATAAATTTCAATCTAGGTGAAATAATATTTAAAATAAAAAACTGGAGCAAAATGGAAGTTCGGGAGTTACAGATACAATCGGAGACAGATATACAAACACGATTTTTGTGGCTGGGTTAAAAAACTTACTTAATCTACTATACCTATAACACCTAATTAAGTGTGTTGAGGTCGCAAGGTTGTGATATTGGACTCGTATGATTTTTATAACATGATAGGTACACAATTTTTTCCTAAATTTCTTAATTTTTAACACTTAAAATAACGAATTTGGTATGATTTTTTTACACCTTTGTTAAAGGAACCACGA